TTTGGTGAACATAAAATAGGCCCATACACGTCCTAGGACATATTACAATTCAGATAAACAGATTTGTCAGGCAGCATAAACTAGGCTACCAATAGGCTATATAATCCATCTCATCTAATACTTAGTTTCAAACTCATTCCTAACTCATTAGAAACAGCAATATATGATACACTAGGCTACAGCTCTGAGCCACAGGCATGTTCCTACCTTGTTAATCAAAAGATCAGAGTCACCTAAACTGGTGATGGACGCCATTATCCCAGTACTCGGGTGATATAATAGCTGGCAATAATGCTATTTAGGATGATAATATACAAATAATGGAGGAGTGCCACGAGCACCGCTGCCCTCAGAGGCCGACCAGCAAGTGCCGTCTCCACCTTCTGAAATACAAAATTCTTAGCTATGAAAAACTTTCAAGATTCCCAGAGCCATTTAACCGTACAGTATATACCTGGTACAAGCACGCTGAAGTAAATATATCGCAAATTGGACCATTAAATGAACCAGGTACGAAATGAATAGCTTTTAATAATTATTATTTACTGTATTATTATAATTAAGAGCTGGTTCATTTCGTATATAATTGTCAAGAATACTTATTAGGACCTATCATGTCAAAAGGCTATTTTTATTATTATTATTATTTTCTACCACAGACGTGACCACACATTTACAGTACTAACCAGCATATATACATTTTCTTCTGTCCTCCATGGACAGGGTTAGAGATGTGTCAAACATATAGTTCAGGGATTTATTGAACAATCAACCACAGAAGGTGATTGTAGTGCTTTGAAAATGCTAGGCTAAGCATTTGTATGTAGCTAGGCTACATACGTAAATACATAGATACACAGATTTATGTATGCAACATAATGTGTTCCATGTGTCTAATACATAGTGTCATTTATGTGCATTAACAAAGGCTATTAACTGCCTGGTTCAACTATTTTTTTCCTTTTACAAGTGACAATATAAAGCTTTCGCAACCTTGAGAGATTTTTAGGCTTCACACTTAGAGCAAGTAGCTTTTTCATACAGGAGATGCCATAGCAACTATGTGATTATTCTAGGTAAAGGAATTAAAAACTTGTGTAACTACTGGCCTCAATGTATTCCTATGGAAACCTATGCAGTCTGCATTATATAACAATAAATATTGTGTGTAAGCTATCATAATTTTTAGCTGATTTTTATATTGTTACTTTCTGGAAAAATAAAGTGCATAGTTTTTGCAGAGGAATAACATTGAGCCAAACTTTACACACAAATAATGCGGTGAGGCCCATTATTTGATGGTTTAGGGCCTACAAATAGTTAGATCATGCCCTGGAGTGATAGACCCAATACCCATCCTGTGAGTGGTAGTGTCCCCAATACTCATCCTGTGAGTGGTAGTGTACCCAATACTCGTCCTGTAAGTGGTAGTGTACCCAATACTCATCCTGTGAGTGGTAGTGTACCCAATACTCGTCCTGTAAGTTGTAGTGTACCCAATACTCATCCTGTGAGTGGTAGTGCACCTAATACCCATCCTGTGAGTGGTAGTGCCTCCTAATACCCATCCTGTGAGTGGTAGTGCACCCAATACCCATCCTGTGAGTGGTAGTGCCTTCTATACCCATCCTGTGAGTGGTAGTGTACCCACTACTCATCCTGTGAGTGGTAGTGGACCTAATACCCATCCTATGAGTGGTAGTGCACCTAATACCCATCCTATGAGTGGTAGTGCACCTAATACCCATCCTATGAGTGGTAGTGCACCTAATACCCATCCTATGAGTGGTAGTGCACCTAATACCCATCCTATGAGTGGTAGTGCACCTAATACCCATCCTATGAGTGGTAGTGCCTCCTATACCCATCCTGTGAGTGGTAGTGCCTCCTATACCCATCCTGTGAGTGGTAGTGCACCTAATACTCAGGTGCACTATCACTCACAGGATGAGTATTAGGTGCACTATCACTCACTGGATGAGTATTAGGTGCACTATCACTCACAGGATGAGTATTAGGTGCACTATCACTCACTGGATGAGCATTAGGTGCACTATCACTCACAGGATGAGTATTAGGTGCACTATCACTCACAGGATGAGTATTAGGTGCACTATCACTCACTGGATGAGTATTAGGTGCACTATCACTCACAGGATGAATATTAGGTGCACTATCACTCACTGGGTGAGTATTAGGTGCACTATCACTCACAGGATGAGTATTAGGTGCACTATCACTCACTGGGCGAGTATTAGGTGCACTATCACTCACTGGGCGAGTATTAGGTGCACTATCACTCACTGGGTGAGTATTAGGTGCACTATCACTCACAGGATGAATATTAGGTGCACTATCACTCACTGGGTGAGTATTAGGTGCACTATCACTCACAGGATGAATATTAGGTGCACTATCACTCACTGGGTGAGTATTAGGTGCACTATCACTCACAGGATGAATATTAGGTGCACTATCACTCACTGGGTGAGTATTAGGTGCACTATCACTCACTGGGCGAGTATTAGGTGCACTATCACTCACAGGATGAATATTAGGTGCACTATCACTCACTGGGTGAGTATTAGGTGCACTATCACTCACAGGATGAATATTAGGTGCACTATCACTCACTGGGCGAGTATTAGGTGCACTATCACTCACAGGATGAATATTAGGTGCACTATCACTCACTGGGTGAGTATTAGGTGCACTATCACTCACTGGGCGAGTATTAGGTGCACTATCACTCACAGGATGAATATTAGGTGCACTATCACTCACTGGGTGAGTATTAGGTGCACTATCACTCACAGGATGAATATTAGGTGCACTATCACTCACTGGGTGAGTATTAGGTGCACTATCACTCACAGGATGAATATTAGGTGCACTATCACTCACTGGGTGAGTATTAGGTGCACTATCACTCACTGGGCGAGTATTAGGTGCACTATCACTCACTGGGCGAGTATTAGGTGCACTATCACTCACAGGATGAATATTAGGTGCACTATCACTCACTGGGTGAGTATTAGGTGCACTATCACTCACTGGGTGAGTATTAGGTGCACTATCACTCACAGGATGAGTATTAGGTGCACTACCACTCACAGTGCACCTAATACTCACCCTGTGAGTGATAATGCACCTAATACTCACCCAGTGAGTGACAGTGCACCTAATATTCCTCCTGTGAGTGATAGTTCACCCACCCAGTACCCATCCTGTGAGTGAGTGCACCCAATGTTCATCTTGTGAGTGATAGTGGACTTCACATCCATCTCGTGTTATTTCACCCTATAGAGCTGAACTTGGGTCTCTTTAGAACGTTTGGTCAATAGGTAGTTCAGGGATGATGTGGAGTAGTCGGAGTTTCTTGGCGTTATAGTGTTCTCTTGGCTGGGTTATGGTGCGCTCGTGGTGCTAGGCTAAGGAATAAGACAATTCGTGCTAGGTTATTTATTTGTACTTAGCGAATGTGAGAGTCTGGCATACTAGCATCCAGTTATTGCTAGTGGAACACGGAAACTACTGATCAAGCAACTTTCTTACGCAGAAAAGTAATCAATTAGGCTTCGGAAGGAGTCAGCGTATCACCCCGGCCTAGAACAAGTATAGCTCCCGTTTCGTCAGTCAGCAGTTAAGCAGCAGTGTTAGCCACCTGGACCACTACATGGACTTGCTGTGGCAGCGCCCGCTAGCCTCGTACCCGACACTACACCAAGTAAGGCAATGAATTTATTTATGTTAAATGGTCGACATACTGGAATTCCCAGTTTACAGCAAAGAGTCTAAAATAATGATTGTTATGCATTATAGACTTCTCCAAGTCTCCTCTCACAGATTGAAATAATTTGCTCGGTGAAATCAGCCCGTAGAACGTGGGCTGACCACTCGCCTATCACCAATTTACATATTTTCGGTATAAATATCCTTGGTTGTCACCTGAACGGGGAAGTAATTATCAAAAGGCGCTAAACCGGGAAGGCTATGTAGCACCATCAAATGTGCGGGATAATCAGAGGCCTGAACAAGGAAATAGCAATAAGGGAACAACGCAGGAGACCAGCGGGAGTGTTCATAAGACTCCATTATAGCACGCTATGCGCGCTAGTGGTTTAACAAGCATGTACTTAAACCCACTGTACTTCCTTTTATATGTTAATAAAAATAATCTTAACTTTTTTTTTTCTTTAATATCTATTGTTCCACTAGTCTATCTTTAGCTAGATATTTTCCATCTAATGCTGCCGACTTGTTTTTAGCTCCTACACGAGAATAGTATCGTTCATCTCAGACGCATCTGCCACTTAACTTTGCTTGTCCATTTAAAGTTCTATCTTAGTTCAATACGAGGCAGTAGGACAATGAAAGGCAAGAACTGAGTAGCCACTTAACACTTTCTAATGGTCATTTACTGGTGTATCCATCTGAACTTCTGTATCAAAAGAATGGAAAAAAAATTCATTGCTTCTACACCTAAAAATTAGTAGATACATTTCGTAAGTTTGATGGCCATAGGATTAACAGGTTTGAACTTTTCCTCCAACTTTATTTTACATACTTAAAAGGTCCAATGTAATGCGTAAAAATCCCCCCCCCCCAACTGCTTTAAGCAAGAGACTTAACCCCTATAGGCTTTAAATGAATGGCACCGCCTACCTGCCGAATCTGTCTGCACCGTTCTGTTCTCGCTTACTTGTATAATAAACAGAGGAACTAATTTGCCTCGACGGAGACAAGAAACCAGCAGCGAAAATGCGGCCCTTTAGGTAATCATGACTTATGTGAATTTAGTAGCTCCAATCCATCCACCAGAAAGGGGCAAGTAATATCAAAGGCGGCACCAAGCCGGGAAGAGAACACCTGACCATCAGAGTTGTGGGTACAGGATAGCATCATCTAATAGCCTAATCACGAGGCCGGGCCACGAGAACATTGTGGCCAGTGGTACAAATTACGTTTACTTAAATTAGGAAGGTAAGAAAATGCCAGTGTTTGAGGTAGCAATTTAGTATTGAAATTCAAAGTTTTTTCAAAAATCAGCTCCAGGTGTCAGAAAGCGAGCTCTTAGATCAGAAGACTTGTTCCGTCGTTGTAGATGTTCAGTACAGAGACTGTCCTTGTTGCCCTCTGTGTGCTGTAGGTGGCCGGACCTGGGGACGAAAGGTAGTTAGATAAATCAGGCTTAAAATTATTAATATTTCATTTCCCCCCCCCCCTCCTGGTACGTAAATGCAGTTCAAGCCTTTAGATACTAGCAGCCTTCACTGCCGCCCACAAGATGGTGTACAAGGTCTTACAACAGCCTAGTCACGCTATGTGTATGGGGTCCACTACCATGGTAGTGAACCCCACAGGATGGTAGTGGGGTCCACTACCGCAATAATGTTTATTCGGGTGAAGGTACTTATATTGAAAAAGTGTTACAATGTTGTAGTATACACTGCCTGAAGTAACTGATACGCATAGCGTTTCGGGCAAAATTATAAATAAATAGGAACATACAAGTATGGACCGAGACGCAGATGTACTTAAAGCTTTAAGGATCATTAAACAATGCTGGAATTTTGTAAGACAATAGTAGCTCAATGTGCAAATATTTCAATTAGAAAACTAATGATTAATTGGTAATTAACTTGGTAAATGTCTAGCATTTGTTCCAGTACGGGGAACCAGGAGAATGGAGGGGGGGGCGCGACAAAGGGGCAGGGGGGAGGGAGGGGGACACGCGACAAAGGGGCAGGGGGAAGGAGGGGGACACGCGACAAAGGGGCAGGGGGGAGGGGGGAGGGAGGGGGACACGCGGCAGGGGGGGGAGGGAGGGAGGGGGACACGCGACAAAGGGGCAGGGGGGAAGGGAGGAGGGAAGGGGACACGCGACAAAGGGGAAGGGGGGAGGGAGGGGGACACGCGACAAAGGGGAAGGGGGGAGGATCCTCACCATACAGCTCACCTTCAAGAGACGAAGCTGGAACTGTATACCAAAAGTGAGGTAAAACAACACTGAAGTGCTTTTTGTCTCATCGTCACTTATATACCCAGCAGCCAACCAAACCCGGCCGCTGATTGGCTGACATTCACCCTAAAACTCACCCCCATTGGTTAACATTTTGCGAGTCTGAAGTGGCAATTAACAATGACCAACAGCCACTCCTTCACTTCCCCAAATACGAACAAGTCTCTAGTAAACCAATAATGAGCTCCAGCTTGAATGTTTGAAGTTGTTAATTTCAAAATCTAATTCACGAACCAAATACAACATGCTGTTGTAAATTTTGCAACAGAACAACAGATCAACATTAGCAATATAATCAACAGTGCAGTAATAATCGTCGGTTAATCAAGAACTGTTAATGGCCGCTCAACAACTACAATATACAGTATATGTAATAACTAACAAACTCAACAACACAAAGTTCCTGACACAAGACTGGATGATGTTAAATATTTACTTTCAATTGACTTAAGATATTGCTCGTTAATGACAAACTTAGTGATTTTAAACTAATTGAAGTGTGCACATTTATGCTTTATAATAACTATTAACATCCAGGATGACATTGTTCAGAATATTCTGCACAAGTGACGTCCACGAGCAATTCATGACCCCAGATGGGTCCTCGGCGCTCCTCTTGTCTTCAAACCAACACTTCCTGTCACCTTCCTCGCTCTTTCTGTCTCCGTCTCCCCAAGGTACTCTTTGGAGTACCAGTCCCCAAGGTAATCCTTGGAGTACCTTGGGGACTGGTACTCCTTGGAGTACCTTCAACACTGGTACTCCTTGGAGTACCTCCAGATACTCCTCGAGCGCCTGGAGTATGTCTCAAGACGAGCCTTACAGGATGTCAGGCGGTTCCCAGCTCCTTCCTAGACGTCCTCTATAGCTCCAACCTCTTCAGTTCTGCCTGTTAGAGCTGTATGTTTACCTTCAGATTTATAAGATAAGATGTTAGATAAAGGTACATACATTGAAAATGAGTTACAAACATAATGTTGGATTTATAGATAGCGCTAGTACATACAATGCCTGAAGCCACTAATACGTTCAGCGTTTCGGGCATGCTGAGGGGGAAAAAAAAGTCATTCCACATTCTGGGTCCCTTGATTTGTAGAGCGTTTCTAGTTTGGTTAAGTCGCACTCTTGGAATATCAAATAGGTAGTTGTTTCTAGTGTAGTGCCCATGGGTTCTGTTACAGCATTCTAGGAAGCGTTTAAGGCCAGGATTGGGATTACAGTTCAGTTTTATATATAGAGAGAACACTTGAGAAGATGTGCAGTGACTTGGTATCTAACATATTCAAAGATTTAAGTTAGGGGTGCGAGTGTTCCCTGGGGGCCAGAGTTTGTTATTGTTCTTATAGCAGATTTGCGTTGGGTAATTAGAGGACGTAGATGATTTTGGGTAGTAGAACCCCTTATAACTATCTTATGGTAACCTCCACCTTAGACGACCACAATTAGACAGTAAGGAAGGCATCTAAGACCGTCTCGGTGTACTAAAGAACATCTACAACGAAGTCGGGATATTAACACATTACCTGTCACCACGTCAAGTCTAATACCAGCCTCTGATGTTGATGCCTCTCAAGTCTTCCTATTTGGGAACCTGTACACTGAACATTGCTAACTTCAACACTGCCAGTGTATCCTCAGGATGGATGTAGGGTCCACAACTAGTCACTCGATGTGAATGAGGTCCACTTCCACCCGTAGAATGGGTAGGGGATCCACAACCACCTGTAGAATGTTAATAGGGTCCACTACCTCCCACAGGATGGGTAAGGGGTCCTCTACCACCCGTAGAATGGGTATGGGGGGTCCACAACCACCTGTAGGATGCTAATAGGGTCCACTGCCTCCCACAGGATGGGTAAGGGGTCCTCTACCACCCGTAGGATGGGTATGGGATCCACAACCACCTGTAGGATGCTAATAGGGTCCACTACCTCCCACAGGATGGGTAAGGGGTCCTCTACCACCCGTAGAATGGGTATGGGATCCACAACCACCTGTAGGATGCTAATAGGGTCCACTACCTCCCACAGGATGGGTAAGGGGTCCTCTACCACCCGTAGGATGGGTATGGGGGGTCCACAACCACCTGTAGGATGTTAATGGGGTCCACTACCTCCCACAGGAAGGGTATGGAGTTCATTACCGCCCACATCTGTGCGGTTGTAGACCTCATACCAATCCTGTGGATGATAGTGGACCCCCATACCTATCCTACAGGTGGTAGTGGACTCCTTACCCATCCTGTGGACCCCATACCCACCCTGTGGGCAGTAGTGGCCCCCATACCCATCCTGTGGGCGGTAATGGACCCCATACCCATCCAACAAGTGGTAGTGGACCTCATAAACATCATGTGACTTGTTGTGGACGCCATATCCATCCTGTTTGCAATAGTGTACCCCATAGTCATTCCCACGTCACATCGTTTTCTGTTGACGTTCCTACAACCCATTCTCTACGATTTCAAAGCTTTCCCTATTGTATATGTTGTTTAGCAAAAGCACATTATTATATGTAATTTATTTTGTATTTGATTATATGTACAAGAGTTCTTACATTCTTGTACAGCCACTAGCACGCACATTGATCCGTTATATTCGAATAGGATGGAAAATGGTACGTAAATCTCATACCAGAAGTGGGAATGGAAAATTACAATTATCATTAAAATTTTAGCAAACAGACTCTGCTGTCCATTTTAGCAAACAGATTCTGCTGTCCATGGCGATGGGACGGGTACTATGGAATGTGCTATGATACGTGAGGAAGGGTTGGTGCCTGGTGATAGCTAATAACCGTAAATCTACCACAGGAAAACTGTGAACATTAGCAGGATAGGAACTATGAGCATTATGTGGCATAGGTACTAAGGTATCCCAAGGACAGGTTGACCAGTGTTCTATTTCCCTGTACATGGTTGATTTGTCTCTTTCTGTGTGTGTGGCCGCAGCTTCTGCTTGGCTGACAGAGACATTGATGTATGTGGCTGCCAAGGTGGATACAAAGGTATAGTCCAACACTAATTGTCTGCCATTTTTCCATGGGCGCTGTGTGATTCCATCTGGTCAGCCAGCAGAGTTAACAGAATTATGGTTCAACAGATTGCGAGGCTCGCTCTTTCCGTTGGACACTGGGCTGAGGCAAGACTCCTCTTAATAATGATGCTGACTTCGTCATGTCGAGAGTGCCAACCACCTTATTTTCCACAGTGCAGGCCATGCAATACATATTCATCTGCATCTGCCTTGCCACAAATACACCTGAATATAGTGTTGATAGGGGCAGCAAGGCAGAGGGCAACTGCAATACTGAGCTGCTGCAGATCAAGACAGACATAGGGACCGGTCCATAGAATTACCCAAATCAGCCCAAAACTACACAAATCGTCCTAGCATTACGTAAGTAATGAAGAAATATGGTATATTTACTTACTATAATGTTGGTGCTACACATAGAACATGATCAAACCTATTTTTACTCTGAAATAATCTAATTTCATAACGAAATTAGACGTAAATATGTGAGAGGTGACGCCATAGGAAGTCGACGGTCCAAGCGACAATTGTGTGGAGCGACTTATCCAAGATATATGGTCGCCTGGAGAGTGTTTGCTGCCATATCAGCCTCCTGTACACAGTGATCCAGTCCTTTTTGTTCATTGAACACCGAACCCTACACGCCCTCTGATATATTGCTTAATTAACAAATATTCACAAATAAAGATTATATTTGTATATGTTATCAGAAAGGCAGATATAAAATAGTTTTTGTGAATCCATCACAGAGATTATACCTTATTAGAGAGGAAAGATATTCATACTTTAAACAAGGCTTCATGGCCGACGCTCTCCTTACCGATATGGGAACTATGACCTTCCGAAGATCAATGTTAATTTAATCTAGATATTGTAATAAACGAAGTTTTCTATGTCATCATAAAGACATAAATATAAGCTGCATGTTAATACTTTGGCATAAATATAACTGAAGTGAAAGTGAAGATATATGCCTTTTTATAGTTACTTGATGGCTCGCTCAGGGAGTGTGAAGGCCTCCACACAAGCCAATCAATTTTATAATTACTTTGCATATATGCAAAGTAACGCCATAGGTCTTTATGTCAGAATAAAGACATGTAGACGATAATGTAACTACATTTCAAGGAAAACATATCTTAATATAATTATTAAATGAATGCAAAGTTATGGTTAAATAAATAGCCAATACCACACAATCGCCGATGTCCGGACACATGAATAGTCGCATTAGGTGAAAGGAAATGTACCCAACCATTTCCATTTACCCAACCAGTTTGTGCACCCTATACTCATCCTCTGTGCGGTAATTTATTGTGCACCCCATACTCATCTTGTTACCAGTAGTTTGTGCAACCCATACTCATCCTGTGACCCGTAATTTATTGTGCATCCCATACTCATCCTGTTACCGGTAGTTTGTGCAGCCCATACCCATCCTGTGACCTGTAATTTATTGTGCAACCCATACTTATCCTGTGACCTGTAGTTATTGTGCAGCTAATACTCATCCTGTGAGTCATAGGACATTGCGCCTATTACCACTTGGACTGAGTGGTAACTATTGTATAGAAGAGCCGGCTCCCTGAGAGTGGTAAGAGGGCGTGATAAGAGGCTAACGTGTGGTCTTGAAGGAAGTCTATAAAGCAGACAATTTTCAAAAGGAAGGGCAGTATAACGAGCAGACAGGAATGGACAGACTGTCGGTTATCCCATAATGTGTAATACGCCCCGCACAGCATGGGTGGAGTGGGGGGGGGGTTGTAGCAGGGCACAGTATGGTAATGGTGCGGGTGAAGTACACACCCACTGAATTCCTGCCATTAATAATTGTTTTCATAACCATTAGAACAATGGCATCCCTCCAGCCACCATCCTTCCACTGACCCCCTCCTCTGGTCCTCCACCTCAGACGGCAGCAAACACTCTCCAGGCGACCATATATCTTGGATAAGTCGCTCCACATAATTGTCGCTTGGACCGTCGACTTCCTATGGTGTCACCTCTCACATATTTACGTCTCATTTCGTTATGAAATTAGATTATTTCAGAGTAAAAATAGGTTTGATCATGTTCTACGTGTAGCACCAACATTATAGTAAGTAAATATACCATATTTCTTCATTACTTACGTAATGCTAGGACGATTTGTGTAGTTTTGGGCCGATTTGGGCTGATTTGGGTAATTCTATGGACCCATAGGGACTGCCAAAAGGAAGTCCCCTGCATAGCTGTGAGGCACACACACCTCTGGGGGTTGTTGCTACCTCCAGGAAAGCTGTGGCTTCTTTGTCTACATGGGGGCTGTCCCAGCTGGATTGTTTCTTGGCTTTCAGCAAGGTTGGTATGAGTGCTGGTTGTGCCATGGTTCTCCATTTTGTGTTGCATTCTATGTAGTGGGGATCATGTATCCCTACTGAGTCACTCAGGTTGTCTGATAGAATTTCCTTGACCAGGTGATCTGATGCCAAGGTAGGCTGGGACAGCAATTTTGGGAGGCAGCACAGACGCCAAAGCCGGCATGCCTGACTGGAAGATTTGCTTGTTTTCACCAACAGTCATTGAGGGAAATGTTGACTGATTTTGCTGTTTCTCTGTGGTTGGCTGTCCTACCTGCTTGATCAGCACCGAAGTGTATGTAGGTGTCAGCCAGAGTGGATACACGTATTGTCCCACAGCAGTTGTTTGCCCCTCTTCCAGGGGTATATTGTGATGCCATCTGGGTGAAGAGCGGAGTCATCCGGGTTTTGGTTTCCTAGGATGCGAGGTTCTCTCTCTCCTGGGCACTGAGCTGAGACAAGGCTCCTCTTGATGATGTCATTAACCTCGTTGTGTCTTGCATGCCAGTACTTGGAGTTTTTGCAGTGCAACCCATGCAGTCCATATTGGTCTGCTTCTACCCTGTTGCAAATACACTTGTCCGAAACTGCCCGAAACATTTTGCGTAATAGTGGCCTTAGGTATTGTATGTACTAGCTCTATCTATAAATCCATCAACTTTGTATCTTACCTTGTATGTATGTACCTAACCTGAATAAAAAAATTATTTATTTATTTATTTGTATTCAGTGTGAATTGGGGCACAAAAGTGGAGGGCCACTGCTACACGAAAGGATTCTGGATCTAAATGCATGCCTGTTTCTCTCATGGGTACTGCCAGAAAAAAGTCTCATGCATGGGGGGCTTGCAGTGGTCTGAGGTGGCTTTCTCCTTATCTGATGTTGCAGTGGTGAGCATGGCATCAGCTCTTTTTTTCTTCTAGTGGGTGGTCCCAGCTGGACTGGTTTTTTTTTAGCAGAATCGTGTATTGCTACTTAATCACTCAGGGGTTCTGGTAGGATATCTCTTATGAGGTCATACAATGCATGGGAGGAGGAAAGGAAGGCTAGTAGAGCAATCTGGGAGGCTGTGCGGACACCAAGGTCGCCAAGTCTTACTGGGAGGGTTACTTGCTCCCATTAGGAGTCTTCCAATGGAAGGTTCAGGACTTTCACCAGCAGAAGGGGTGTCATACTCATTTAATTTAGGGCTGTTGTAGGATGGAGAACACCTCAGGTTCTAAGTCAACTTAGAGAAAGAACTATAAACAAGAAACTAGCAACCCTGCATGCAACTAGTAGTGTAATTTCCCCCTCCCCCCCAAAAAAGGGAAGTGGGATCCTGCTCGAGGCGAACCACCCGGCCACCACCTCATTTCTAAGCCTGGTGTAAAAACCACTGACCAGAGGGAGGATGTCGGGGAGCCTCTGGGGTTTCGCCCAGAAAAATGGAGTTTCATTACATTCAACTCTGATTTTTTTTGTCATGAGCCCCATTGGCTGCCTAAAGCTAACTATCCACAGAGAAGAAAAAATGGGGACTTACCTGTGAGGCAGTAGTTCCACAGGGCTCGAGTTGAAGAAGAGACTGACAACCCCAACCAAAGCCCCAAAACCACACAATGCTGGAAAGGGTCCAAATGTGCACTAGATATCTGGCAGCCAGGACACTGTTCAACCTCCAAAACCCCTGCGCCCTAATGTCAACCCAAGACATGTTGCCAAAAACCACTGGGAGCACCGCGTACTTCAACACGTCATGGGCACGAGGGTAGTCCGCAGGTTGGGTGGACTTTATGACACTCCGGACAACCTAAGACACAAGCCCAGTAACAGAGAACCTGGGAAACCAGATCCACCCAAAGAGCATCCATCGTCTCAGAACCAGTGGCTTGCAGGTAGTGGCATAAAGCCACCACGGGATACAACGAGTGATGCACCCCTATCCTAACCAACCCTGTACTCACCACCACCAGACCCCTTTGGAAGCCTGCTAACTCATTCCTCACTAGAAAAGAATGAGAGGGCTGCAACCGAACCAAACAACCACCTGGACCAAAGGAACAGATCCCTGGCACTGGAGGAGTGCATGAAGCCCTCCAACCCAAGCCCCAGAGTCTAACCTAACCAAAATAAGGCCTTTCGAAAACAATCACCAACCGAATTGGTCACCACAAAACGAGGGGAAGAAAAAAAAGACAGAACTTGGTCCACAGACCAGGAAGGCTCGGGTGGGGCATGAGCAGGCCGGAGGTGAAAAAACGCATGTGAAAGCTTGCAAAACAGAGCTGGAGTAACTTCCACTACAAACATAAGCTGGAAAAGCTCTGCTAATACGGTGTGATAGGAAGCAACAGTATACGGCACGAGATGCCGGCCCAGAAAAATCCAAGAGAGAGAAAGGACAAAATATTGTGATCCTGTGGTCCTGGGTTCGATCCCAGGCGCCGGCGAGAAACATTGGGCAGAGTTTCTTTCACCCTATGCCCCTGTTACCTAGCAGTAAAATAGGTACCTGGGTGTTAGTCAGCTGTCACGGGCTGCTTCCTGGGGGTGGAGGCCTGGTTAAGGACCGGGCCGCGGGGACACTAAAGCCCCGAAATCATCTCAAGCTAACCTCCCCCTAATGGAGGGATGGGGGGTTTACACTAACGAGTGTGAGTACTAGTTGCATGCAGGGTTTCTAGTTTCTTTTATTTATTTTCTTTCTGCAGGAGTTTCTTTCCTTTTCTGGTTGTAGGTAGCAATTTTACTAGCTAGTTTGTTTTCGTTTGCCTATCTTTCTGGGTGCCCACCCAAGTCAATGGCAGAATATGACATACTTTACATGTAAAGTGCTCATATACCATTGCTCGCTGTGCCTCTCTGAGGGGACTAGGTTCTAGCTCATGGTTCCCGGTAGGCATAACAACTCCTGTGACTGATGACCCCAAGCTAATATAGCACACATCAATTTGGATAGTTTAAGGGAGCCGATGCCCCCCCCCCCCAATAAATATGCAATTTACACCTACTCTTTCTACATCATTACACCTCCAAGATATCACTTACCTTGTAGTCACCGGGTAAAAACTGACCAAGGGGTAGTGTGTGCTTTCTGTGGTATTTTGCATTGCTGTTAGTAGGAAAAACAAAAGACAAAAGTACAAAAAAGCTATTTACCAAATTACCCCAATACATAACAGCTATCATAATGTTACACTTCTCTCATCATACTTACTATACATAACACGTTCATTTACACGTCAACTTGAAGGTTATTACTTGGCAAAAATATTTACTTAAAAGATCAAGAACTGGTCAAAAGAATATAAATAAAGTATTTTCATTGGTAGCAAAAATTATACATAGCAATATAAAAATAATTTAAAAATATAAACTAGAAAACAAGGAATAATGGTTAGGTTTTGACCTATAATAATTAGTGACCACACCCATCTTCAATGTACTAAAAAACATAACATTCAACATTAAATTCACACATTTTTATACATCTTTTGCATTCACTCCTAAGACATCAGTATATATTACATCATAACAACCCTCTCATTCAAGATAGTTGTCTTCTGTACAGGGTTTTTTAATATGAATATTATTTGTGTAAGAATTCTGTACATCTTAAACGTATTTATATTTATTTTTCATAGACACGCATGAGCTTCACACGACTAAATGCTGCACAGCAGTTACCTCCATCTCACTTAATGTCTTTTTACACAGAAATGATGATCCATCATCAATGTAAGGTTTTGTGAGATTCAACATAATATTGCTTTTCATATGTATCTTATAAAACAATTTGGTTGGTGCAACAATGCAGTTTTGAGATTCCTACTTATACAGTACTACCAATTCCTAAGAAAATATTTTAAAATTTACTATTTAACATTAACAAACTCTTAGTAATATTAGGAAACGTCACAGAATTATATAGTGTTCTATTTTTCAAAATACATTAATACCAGCATTATCCAGAACCCTATTATTTGATTAATGTCTAAACTCACTATTTCAGATCATAAGGGGTACACTCCAATCCAAATCACAGAGATCAGTTACCCAATTTGATTTCTGTTGCTCCTTAAATTTTACAACTACCTGATGAACACATGCTTTCTGGATGCCTCTTACCTGGATATGCCTGTTATTTGTTTTAAGTTTGTCAGTGTTTCAAGTTAAGTTTGTTATTTTGTTTTAAGTTTGTCAATATAAATGTACAATAAACTGGTGAGGCGAACAGACTGTCTGAATAAAAATTTGTGATATGGAGTGTGGGAGTGGTACAAGTACTTAGGTACATCTGAGGTACTAGACAGATTGTCAGGCTAGGCATACTATCAGGCTTAATGGGCTGTCAGAATGTGCAAACTGGGTTTATTGTGAGGCTAGACAAGCTGGTTGCTAGTCTGATTAACCAGGCTTTTTGATACGGTTGCTCGCAAACTGACATGAGTCCGCCTGATTGATCAGGTATCCTTTGTCAATTTCTCTTTCGAACACTGCGAGAAGTCGGCCAGTTATGACCTGTATGTGTAGAGGAAAGACTGTTGAAAAGTCTTGGGATTTTGATGTTGACTGAGCACCTCTGCTTTTCAGTGGGGTTATTTTGCACATCCTGCCATGCCTGCTGGTCTCATGTGGTGTTATTTCTGTCTTCAGATTTGGAACTAATCCTTCTAAGTGCAAAGTATTATGTGCCTTTCCTGCCTGCACTCTAGGGAATACAGATTTCTGGACTACTGAGGTTCAAATTAGTTAGCTCTTACTGTATTCTGATTATCAAAATCTAACTCTTTATACAACTACTTTTATAAATATACTATTTGTAAAATACATTCCAGATAATACAGGTACTGAGGTATTAATAAATTTTGAAATTGGTGAGATACAAGGAACCAAGGTCACTGCTGGCATGATATGCTGCGACATCGGCACCAGAGGGTGAATGCCAACATGGCGTCGGGTCACCTCGAGTCTGGAGTTTCAATGTGTATCTGCAAGAGAAATGAAATTGCTGTATGAGTGCAGGCACTGTAAGCTAAATTTATAAGCTCTCTTGTCAGAGATTTATAAGCTCAGTCAGATTTCAAGCTGACTGAGCTACGTCAGATTTGACGTCAGAGAGCTACGTCAGATTTGACGTAGCTCTCATTCTGTCAATATCCTTAGATAAATACACTTTATATCCTTCACCTCTGACATGTAACTATAGTATTGGAAGTAGTTATACTAAAACAGATGGGTTTTCTCAATGTCAATGTACTTACCTCGCTAAGTATAGCCCAATTATCACTCTCAACATGTACATTGAGGCGTAATGATTTTATTGTACCAAACGACTCGTCAATGGTTCCTTCTGCTACTCCCATGTCATCAAAATCCCCTATAACAAATTCAATAAAAATTAGCATATCATAAGGATAACATCTGTAGATGTTCTGGAATATAATTTAACTTTCATAACACACAGAAATCACAATTGCGTGATGCATCAAATGAACAAATCCACAAGGGCCGTGACAAGGATTCGAACCTGTGTCCAAGAGCATCCCAGACGCTGCCTTAATCGACTGAGCTACGACACGGTAAAAGGAGTTGAAACCAAAGTTCTACTGAACTTACTGGATCCTGCAGCCTCTTCGAGGCACAAACCAGGGTTTTACATAACTTCGGTTTCAACTCCTTTTACCTTGTCGTAGCTCAGTCGATTAAGGCAGCGTCTGGGATGCTCTCGGACGCAGGTTCGAATCCTCGTCATGGCCCTTGTGGATTTGTTCATTTAACTTTCATAAATTTATCATTACTACTGTTTTTCTAGTAATATAGCAACCAAAATTATTCTGACATCTCTCTGGTCACTCCTAGATCATGGGTGGGGAACCTGTATCCCTATGGTACTCAGTGTAGCCTTTGAAAGCAATCTAATTAATGGGATTTGATCTGAAAGTTTGTGACATGTTTGAATGTATACAGTACATAATACAATGTAATACAATGCCTTATGAAATCTTTGGCAAGTACAATATGGTTTTTCTTCTGATGAAAAGTCCCCACCCCTGTCCTAAATGATCCATCAAACATTTTTACTAAGATGGTTCTTTGCTTTCCTTTAGTCTAATGTACTCTACTACAAAAGTTTATCTTTTTTACCCAATACCTATGTTGCCATTCAAACAAAAATAAAAGTGAAAACGTATTCTCTAACCTTTATTTAAACATATTTACCTAGCCATCTATACAAAAATCTAGATGCAATTAATGATTTTTCAATATTTAAAACATATTAGGGAAATTAAAATATAATAATTCCCTATAGTTAAATACATCAATCTCATTATTTTCCTAGTGTGTGCAGTATAGAACTACATATGACTTGGGAAGCATGGCAGCAGGCCTGTTAGCCCATACTAGGTAGGGAATGAAATCCATAACCTCACACTTGTATAGTTATCCAGTCTATTCTTGAAACCTGTTGACTATACGGTCTCCCGTGATTAATGCTTTCTTTTGTTATTTACTGTACTTCTGTCTACCTGTTGAAATGTGATATGATGCCTCACACTGTACACCAACTTGTTTGTAAACATGTACAAACATCGTTGACCAGACCACACACTAGAAGGTGAAGGGACGATGACCTTTCGGTCTGTCCTGGACCATTCTCAAGTCGATTGAGAATGGTCCAGGACGGACCAAAACGTCGTCGTCCCTTCACCTTCTAGTGTGTGGTCTGGTCAACATACTTTAGCCGCGTTATTGTGACTCATCGTCTGCATGTACAAACATCAAACATTCACTTGGTCAAAATCCCTTCTAATGATCCACATGCAATTCTCACTTCCTCATACACTATACGCTTATTATTTTGTCCGAATATCAATGTTATTGTCTCAATTTGTCCCTCTAATCCCCAAGTCATCCTGTCTTTTACCTCTCCATTTTCACCTTTAAACATAAGAAAGATATTCAAACTTATCATGTATTTTAATACAGTAGTATCAAAGCTTACCAACTACAACGTAATTATCTTCAGTAATTTTTAATTTTTCCTTTTGATAATTTGTCAAACTGGAGAGTGGGTGTGTGGGCAGCACCTCTACTGTAGTGTTGTACAGCCGATCAGAAGGATGCTCCACATTTCCACTTCTGAAGAGGAACCTGTTGAGAAATATTAATAAATGCCCTACAGTCTAATACTAGCATTTGATTTGAATTTATTCAAGTCCATGCATAAAGAAGATAAATAGTTTCAAAAGTAGAGACAGGAACAGATATAAAATATACTACATGTGCACGAGTGTTCCGACCCTGGGTCCAAAATTGGCAGTGCAACGGAACCAGGATGATAGCACTCCTGTTTACATACATACAGGGACCATTCACTCCATTATGTTAGTGATAGGCCCTGATTGTTTGGGATTGTGTGTAGGATTTTGACTAGTTAAATTATAGCGCATTAATAGATAGGTTGGGTTATGAAGGAGGAAAATTATCTGGCAGTCTTATACTAATCCTCAAGAGGGCTTGAGACCTCAGCTTGTGAAATGGTGGTCCCGTTTCCCTGCCAAACGTAGGACCACCTTGATGCTCATAGAGCTGGTATACTCTGTATAATTGAGTGTAAGTGTAATTTATAGCTAAAATGTTAGTTATACTTAGAACTGATTAGTGGAAAGTAAATATTTGTATTGAAGAATAAGTATGTTAGTGTACGATCAGGTTAATGATTCAGGCAGCAGCCACATTGTGTTGAGGTCTTCTCTAGTCAACTGAGCTACAGGGCGGACAAGTGCTACCTTACCTTGAGGTTACCTTGAGGTGCTTCCGGGGCTTAGCGTCCCCGCGGCCCGGTCGTCGACCAGGCCTCCTGGTTGCCGGACTGATCAACCAGGCTGTTGGACGTGGCTGCTCGCAGCCTGACGTACGAGTCACAGCCTGGTTGATCAGGTATCCTTTGGAGGTGCTTATCCAGTTCTCTCTTGAACACTGTGAGGGTGTGGGGCTCTCTTTTCTTGCCTCCTTCCTGCTCCTCTTTCCTTACTCTTTCAATAACAACATAAGTACTTATATATTTGTCACCGTGCCATTAGTTGTTCTAAGTTACCTTAGAACAACCTGCCTGTCCAAAATGCTATGCGTGCTAGTGGCTTTACAAGAATGTAAACTCATCATTGCAATGTACTCTCTTAGCCCCAAATGTACCTTCTTGTATATAAATAAATAAATAAGTACAGTATATTGGTTCTGTGTTCACAAGGTCAGTGTTTGAGCCCCAAGTGTTTGCCTCTCTGGGGTGGCCTAGTGACCACCTGTTGAAGTTATTCAGTGTTGTGTTGTTGTCCTTAAGGAACGGAGACTTTACCTCTAGTTTGCCGATTGTAACCCTCGTCTCCTGCTTATGTGGATTCAGGGAAATAACGTAAGAGTGAGGTGATAAGGTATTTACTGTACTTGGGGGGGGGGATTAGGGGTTAATAAATTATATATTAAGGTTTTTAAACCAGGAGTTTTCATCGCCCTTGTAGTGGGGTAAGTGATTTATTTCTAGACATTAGACCATATATTGATATTCATTCTTTTCTGGGAATTGTTTTCCTGGAGGCCGGGCCTTACCTAACCCCACTGATTGGACCTCCCTTACCTTGATATTAACCCAACAGAGCAAGCATGTGTTGATAACAATGCTAAATAAATTTGAAGTGTATTAGTGTTGAATGCAATATTTCAACTCGTTCTCCTGTTTGGATAGTAATTATGGTAGTGATATGGACCATCGTATATATATTGATGTAATTTGAATGTAATGAAATGGCCATTTCTGGGTGAGCCCTGGTGGCTTCTTGAAGCTACTGTACTAGTAGCTTCAGTTTAGTAGTTTCATACATCTCGAAGCTGTACATAAGATTGTGATATTATTCTCAGTTGACATACTACTCTTTCTAATCTTTCTACTATTCTACCATAACAATAACTCTTACCCTTTTAGAACAACTGGTGGTTCAAATTTAAACTGAAGTTTATCTCCTTGCTGAGGAAGTAGACCCCAAAAGTAAGACTCTCCTTTGTAGGCTCGCTGCAATGTAAATGCCTTGTAGGGTTTGATCTGTGTTTCCACACTGGCTGTTGGATTATCATGGGGGAAGAACAGCTGTATTTTCCCAAACTGCTTGTCCTGTGTACCAAGAAACAAAATTGAATATAATTTTCATTAATTATTGTCCAAGAATTACAAAAAATGGATGTGCATCAGTGCATCTCCATCAACACTGAGTTTCCGAAGACTTATCTATAGAACAGTTTTTAAATTATAGTTCTTCTCTTGATCCTGTGAACACCGAGTTGCAGATGGGCACGAGAAAGGTGAATGGGCAAAAATGAGAATATAAACTGCAATTAAAAATAATGAGAAAGAAGTATAATCGGGACAGGTAAAGAGGTCAGCAGGTAAAGAGGAGTAATTTTAAGATATAGACCTAGTAACTCAGTAAAATGTGATATTGTACTTTATTAATCAAAATGTTGGAAGGTTCTATGTTAACTATACATAATGATGTTTGATTATAAAAAATACAAATACCCACTATTTAAGTACTGTACTGTAATTAGACCCTCAAATATTTTTCATATGAATTTGAAAACATTTGATTAATTTGATTAAGGCATTACTATACAGTATACTAGAGAGAAATTTCTTCAGCTATGTTGTTATGAATTCAAACATGACGACCCTTCCTACTAATGGATGGTACTTCAACTTTAAAGAATTGTAGAAGCCAATTAGTACACTTGCATATAGTATAATGGGTAAATGTGTGTTTTAGAATCAAATACTGAACAGCAACAGAAGTTAAACAAATTTTATATAAATCTAGTGTAGATGAATGTTTCTGAGTTTGTCATTCTGTTTCCATAGGAACAATCCTGCTCCCTCAGGGACATTGCTAATTCCAGCCTAAGTCAGTGTATCCTTCTCATCCCTGATGCAGTAAGGGTATTTTATATGTGTACCTGAGGGCTACCATCTCTAGTGAGCACTGATGCTGATAACAAGTCAGTGGCTTATCAAACATCACTGATGTAATGAATTGGTTTTTGCCCCGTGTAGTTTATTCGAGTGAGTTCCCATTGTACCGTGTGTAAAAATTTTACACACACACACACACACATAATATACAGTACATACTAAATGTTCACCGAAGCACAGCCCTTCCAAATAGATGGCACACACACATTGTTGCAGGATGAATCTGCCATCACTTAACTGAAGCAGAGGTTCCTCACTGACAGGAATTCATTAAGGAGAACAAGGGTGGAAAGCGAGGTAAGCTTTTTGGCTAGTCACTGTTCTTATCTATCAGTGACTAAAGATGAGTGAAATCTAGCTCTATGCACCACCTCCTAACCATTTATGCCTGGCATGCTAATTACCCCTCTCAACATTAACATTTTTATCATATTTCTTTTTAAAGTTGTGGATGAAATTGGCTTCAACAACCTTTTTCTTTAATGCATTCCACATTCCTACCCCCTGTACAGAGAACGAAAACTTCCTTACATCTCTTTGACTCGATTGTATATCCAGCCTCCACTTATGTGGAGGCTGTATATACTTATGTGCCCCTGCACATGACCGGTGATGTAATAGGTGGCAGTGACAATTCAATACTCAACTTGTAGTTATGAATAATATCACAACATTTAACATTCTCTTTGTTTTCTGGAGTGGAGCCTCCTTCCGCTCCCCGAAGCCGTGGAGCCTCCGGGTCTCACCCAGAAACCGGCATTTCATTGCATTCAATGCTGGGTTTTTGTGTGTGTAGAGAAACACAGTATTTTGTAATAGTCACTCAAAACTAAATTTAAAATTGTCAGCATTTCTCTTCTCTTTATGACCAAGTAGGGGCATTTAGAAAGAACCTTACTGCAATAGTGATAAGACGGCTGCACTGACCTAGGCTGGAGTTCGTTATGTCCCAGGATGCAAGATAATGTCTAAAGGAGTGAGCGAGTGGTCTTTGCTCGAATACATAATTATAAAATATTAGAATATAAGAATATAAGAACTACTGACATCATTTGCTAAAGTAAATACAACATTCTGGACAGTATTATCTTAATATAACATGCACATTTAATTTTCATTAACAATAAAGCATTAAAAATAACCCTGCATACACTTCTCAAAGTGTTAGAATAAAACATTTTACTCCGATACATTAAAGAGCAAAATCTTAAGACACTAAACTCGCATGTATTAAGAGTACACCATTTTGAGACAAGTAGGCAAATGGGTTTTTAAAAAGTCAATAAAAAGCCAGCAAGGCAAAAATGATTTACCATGCATTCAAGAAGTGATGATGCCATGTACTAGCTTGCATGCAAGAGTACAAGTTTGGTCAGTATTAACTGGCAAGATGCATGTGATCTTGTGTGTGTAATTACCACACTAAACATTCACATATGCACCACTAATGGTAGTTGATACATGCAGAAAACACAAGGTGCTTCTCTATAAGGCAATAATATAATACTGATCAATTTTTTATATAAAGAATTTTTACATACCAGTAAAAGGAACATGGACACAAATTAGGAGCTGCTATTCTATGTGAATGTAATTAAAATAAGGATGCTGCACAAAAAAAAACTTTTTTTTTCTTTGTAATACAGCTGTATTGCTTGGCATATAATTTCATCCAGTGAAAAACTCCAAATTGCAGTGAGGCAGCACTACACCTATGCTTATCCCTCCTGGACATGGTCAACTAGAATGTTGGTCAACAGTAGATATTTTAATACACTATACTGTATTTGTTAATCCTCAAGAAAATGCTACCTTTACTGCATGCTTGGCTCACCTAACTTTGATGCTCTGCACTTCTTTCATTACTGTATTAAGATATTATCCTAGACAAGAAAAGTTAGTTCAGTTCATGTCTTAGATACAACAAAATGATCGATTCCCCTCATGCATACGCATACATGTGCATAACAAAATTCAATGATTGCAGTCGGTTTATTACAGAAAGGTCCCGAATTCAATTTCTGCACAGGACAGATATTCGGGCATGTTACCTTAAACCCTGATGCCTCTGTTCACCTGACTATAAATAGATACCTGACAGTTAAGAAACTGTTATGGGTTTCATTCTGGAGATCAATCTTGTGCCTAGAATACCTCACTTATCCTAACAGGCTTCCTGTCCACAACGATGAGAAACCAAACCTAAGTTTCCAGTGAAACTTAGGTTTCACTGGAAACCCCCCTCAGCTTTGGGGTACATATGAAAAGCTCATTTCTGAGCTGTTCATGCTGTTAGTCTCGAAGGCAAAATCCTCCTAGTTCCATGGTTCGGATCATGCTTAGTCAGGACAAGTTAACATTTTGTACTGGAAGACCTGTGATCTTTTCTAGAGAATAATCGATCAAGTCCAGAATGACCTCAAGAAGGCTCATTCAAATACACTTAAGCCCATCCATATGCTACTTGTTATAAAATGGGAAACTAAAGAGCATTCTTGCTGATTGATAATTGGTCCAACCAAGCATTAGCCTGAACTGCCACTAGGTGACAGCAACTGCATATCAAGTGGGTACCATGACTGCTCACCTCACATTTGCCTGATATGAACCCTCTAAAGAAAATTAGGGAAAATCAGGAACAGAATCAAGGGAATATGATAAATTGTGTTTTGGTAAGAACATAATTTCTCATCTAATATACACACAACCTAATTTCTGAATACAGTAGTACCACTTGCAGACGAGGAGTCACAATAACGTGGCTGAAATATGTTGACCAAACCACACACTAGAAAGTGAAGAGATGATGACGTTTCAGTCTGTCCTGGACCATTCTCAAGTCAACTGAGAGAGGACAATAGCCAAGTAGTACCACTTGGCTATTGTCATCGACAAAAGTATACAAAAGTATCCTATGGATTAGGAATACTGTACATACAAAAACAAGGGACTGAGCTTGCCCGTGCTGCTGAGATGGAGCTATAGAGGGAACAGGCACTTCCCTATCTTAAGAAAACTACTTTATCTGGAATCTTAGGAGGTACTAGTACACACATGTAATTTTGACCTTAAACCCTCCACCCCTCCCACCCTGAGCTCTGATCAGTAAATCATATAGTGAAGAATGCCTTCAGGGTAACAAACTAACCACAAGCATGAGGATGAACCTGTGATTTGCTGATCTTGCACACTGTACAGCAACTGGGAAAGCCTGATCCTAGTGCAAGGCACAGTACAGATATTCAGGAAGAGAAACACAGTTGAAGAGTGACAAGAAACTTGAATATCAGCACTCGGCTACAACTAAATAGAAAATATGATAGGTTTTCAGCCAAACAAACTGACAGATGTCCTAGAGTGAAAGGGATACCGATCCTAATTAAGCCCTTTGGATAGAGTACTAATATTCAGCCCCCAAAATTCCACACCCAAGCATTGAGAAACGCTTGCAGATAGCCAACCACCCCTCCATTACAATAACTGGAGAAGACCGGGAGAAATGGCCACTTGCAAAAGGGACCAGAGTACCAGAACGACATGCTTCCACTAAGGGATAGAGGATGCAGTAGACTTTTGCCTGAAAACCCAATTTAATATCTAGAAAGTAGCCTAAGTGTCAAACACAAGTTTCTGTGCATTGTACTCTGGATACAATCACTGAAGAGGTAAGTCTCCCCAGGAGAGTGATAGTCTAAGCATACTAGAAAAGAAACAGAAAAGGCAAGGCATGGAAAATATACAGAGTAAAACAATGGTATGAGACCATGTAATTAGACTGCAGGGACAGGGAGAAACACTCTTGGAGAATGACAAAGTAGTGTGTAAAGAAGTCAATAAGAGGATCCAGGAGTCTTCGAACCTGAACCAGATTGGAATCCAAGTAAGGGTGGCAACAGACAACCACAAACACTACTAGACATAATTGAAGTTAATGTAGAAGAGATAAAAAGATACCTGGAGGAACTGGATGTAACAATAGCAATAGAACCAGTCCAGACATCACCATGGCTACTGAAGGAAGCTGCAGGTATCTTGTATTACCAATTAACTATAGTGTTCAACACTGCACTAAAGACAGGAGAGTTACTGGAAATCAGGAAAAAGACGAATGTAGTTCCAATATTCAAGAAAGAGGACAGATATAAAGCACTAAACTATAGACCAGTGTCATTAACATGCACTGCATGCAAGATTCTAAAAAAAAAGTCATCAGACAAAAGACTGTAGAACATTTGAGAAAATACATTTTATAACAGAGGCACAACACGGCTTCAGAAAGGGAAATCATGCTTAAGAAACTATGGTTAATTCTGTGACAGGGTTACCAAAACAAGATAAGGAAAGGAAGGAATGTTAGATTACATCTTCCCAGACTGTCAAAAATCTTTTGATACAGTTCCTCATAAAAGACTAATACACAAGATGGAGAAACAAGCAGGATAACAGGAAAGGCACTGACTAGGTACGGGAGTACTCGACGGACAGGAAACAAAATGGGTTATGGTCAGAGAAGATGTCATGCTGGAGAGAAGTGGAAAGTGGTGTTTCACAGGGCTCTGTTCTGGGAACATTGCTCTTTTTAAATTGTCAATGACCTCGCTGAAAGAGCGAATTCATACACGCAATGTTTGCAGATGATGCAAAGTTAATGAAAGAAAAAACTGAAAAAACTGTAGGGTGATGCAAAGAGACCTTAACAAACTTTAGGAGTGGGCAGATAAATGGTTGCTGGAATTAATCCAAATAAGTGCAAAGTAATGAAAATGGGTAAGGGAGATAAGAGACCAGTATTTAACTATACCATAAGGGGAAGAGAATTACAAGAAACAATAAGAGAAGGGTCTGGATAGTAACACCAGAGGCTCATGTGAACAGCATAACATCAACAGTTTATGGAGAGTCAGCAAACATAAGAGCATCATTTAAGAAACTAAACAAGGAGGCGTTTAAGTCCACACACGCTGGCAATACTTGATCATTACTCAAGTATGCAGCTCCAGCATGGAACCCACACCTTGTAAAGTGTAAACAAACTTGACAAAGTTCAAAGCTTTGCATCTAGATTAGTACCAGAATGGAGAGGCCTGAGCTATGAGGACAGGTTGAGAGAACTCGTCCTCACAACCTTGGAGGAGAGAAGAAACAGAGGAGATATGATAACTATAGTATGTACAAGATCTTGAGGGAAATAGATAAAGTCAACAAAGGAAGCCAATTTAAATTAAAAAGTGGTTGGACAAGGGAATATTGTTGGAAGCTGGACATAGTTGAGTCAAAGAGATGAAAGGAAGTTCTCATTCCCTGTACGGGTGATCAGAAAGTGGAATGCATTCAAGAGATTGTTAAAGCCAATTCCATTCACAACTTGAATGTTTTCATCATACAGTAATTCATTTTAATATTGGGAGAGGTAATTTGTGCATCAGGTATATACAGCTAAGAGGCAGGGCATAAAGAGCTACATCTCACTTCCCTACAGTCCCTGATAGATAAGCATTACATATAGATAGGATAAGCTTTCTGAAACTGACCCCAACACTACTCGCCTACAGGCCAAATGATTGGTGAAGTGGTCTCGAAATGCATCATGAAGGAGAGATACAAACAAATTTGTAAACTTGGCAACCGAGGAGGCAGAAGAGAAACCCAAGCCCACAATGCTATAGCTCTGAGAAGTAACAACCTGTAGCTGAAAGGAAGGATTCTTGGCAAGAGGAATTTTTCAAGACATAAGCAAGATGGGTTTGGATTGGAATTTTGACTTCAGCTCCTTGTTGAAGAGCTGTCAATGACTGGTGGGTCATAATTACTCCGAGGTCCTTTTCTTTATTGTTAATCTTTTCTTTTCTTTTTATTATTAATCTGCTGCAGTGGTCATATTGTTGATATGGCAGTTATGTATATTGTTATGCCCAACATGTCAGGTTTTGCATTTTTCAATCCTGAAGAGCATTTGCCAGTCTTCTGACCATTTGTGGCTTTTATTTTTATCATTTTTGCAAGGCCTTGATATAATTTTTGCTTCATAGTTTACCATAAATCTCTGTCATTTATGACCAGATTTGACCAGAGGAGTTGAAGAACCTGCCTCCTTGCACCACCAGAGTGGAAGCAGATGCATTGCCAGAAGCCAAGAAGGATGGCAGTCTGGTAGAATAAACAGCTTTTTGGTGACAATATGAAGATCAACATGCAGAGAAAAGGATGACGTCGAAAATTCCAATGGACTGGTAGCCTCCCCCCCCCCCCCTGCCTTCTACCAATGGACAAAGGTGGCAAGAGCCTCCAAGCAGCTGATTAAGATGCTCTGATATCCCAAGGGACATATACTATGGTTGCTCTCCTCTTAATAGTGTAAAAACCAAATGAACTGCACTAATTAGATCACATTCTAAAATTAATGCACATGACAAGATTATCTTACAAATTGCTATACAGCATTTCAATTATTTGCTTTAGAATAAAAATGCAATAGCTTTAAAGGACAAGTACAAAAAGTCTGGTGTAGTTATGCTTATTTGTTGTTACAACATGTGACAATCCCAGACAAAATCTTTAACTGGTTTAGAAATGGCAATAAAAAGCATGCCATCCATTTGTGATCTTATACAAGTACTGTAATTTTAAAGGTGATGTGAAGAAGCAATCAAGTCAGTGTAAACAATAAAATTGTAATGTTTTTTACTACAGGGTTTATCTCCTGAAATATATAACAACATATGCATAGAATATGGGGAAGCAAATTATTTTACAATCGCTGTCAATGATGGTGTTAATCTCCCTCTCTCGTTTCCAGAGTCAACGTAAGAACTCACTAATACTGTACAAGCAATTTTAAAAGCATTATTACTATATATTATTAACTACAATGATAAATATGTGCCTTTCAATTTTCTTAAAGCTTGACACAAAAGCTAACCAAATGGAAATGAAGCTTTTTGTATATCTTCACCACTGCCTCTTACTTGTGCTGAATGTAAACTCAAAATGAAAGAAAATTATGATTCGATCAACTAAAAATGGAGCCGCTAAATCTCATCACAAACTCAAAGCAATAAACTGGCTTAAGCAAACTAATTATGATAAAACAGGTTTCAATCAACTATTTTCTAAATGGTGAACCTCCCCATCTGCAACTAATATGCTATATCTAATGAGATATTCAAGAAGTGTACACAAATAATATGCTATATCTAATGAGATATTCAAGAAGTGTACACAAATTATATTATCTTTTACTGCTGATAATCACGATTCTCATTCACCATGTTTTGGATAAGCAAGGTAATAGCACTGACCATCAGCGGGGTGGGTCTAAACACTATCAAACTAGCACCATCAACTACCTTTCCGCTCTTCCCGAGCTTCAGCCTGGAGCCAGAATTCACCACTGGAATACCTACTGCTGATTTATCCTGAAATTCATTTAAAGTACTATATTCATACTGTTCTCATTGTCACAAGATGCAATGAATGGTAATGTATTCTGTGATTATACACTTGACAATGGAGATACAAGTGTGATATTCCTTGACAACAAGTAATGCATGCAAGACATGGACACTTCACTCACATTATATGACGACTAAGATGCTACCAGATCTATGGAAATATTTGTAGAAATAATGCATAATGAAATTACAAGAACGTGATACAGTATATGAGAAAATATTTATTCTGTCGATGGGATTGAACCTGCATACCTCAAATCCCTAGGCGCACACACACACACACACACTACATGGTCAAGCCAGTAGGGCACGTGTCTGAGGGGTCCAAGGGGTGCAACTGTGATCTCCATCAAACAGCATCACTATTTCCTCAAAAATAATGTTACATAAGCTTCAAACTAAGTGCAGTGTTAAAAGAAACAAATTTGTGATATTCTACTTATGAGAAAAGTCCTTTACACTGATACAATTTCAAAGTAAGTACAGTTTTGAAAACACTAAATAGTGTATAATTTGAGCAAGAAGGATAGATGGAATAAAGCCAAATTTATTTTAATTCTAAATTGTACATTAGATTAAAAGAATAAGGAATTTATTTTATCAAGTCAGTAAAGAAAAGAAAATGGTACCGAGGCTCACGTGAAAACATTTCAATGTTTATATGAAAACTAAACCTTTCTTCCATGTTTCAATTCCATTTTAGACAATAAAAATCATGAATAAAACCCATAACATCAACTGAACCTATAACACCAGTCTCTTGAAATATTAATAAGTTATCATAGTAAATTAGATGTATAATAAACATAATCCACAAACCGAATAAATGGGGAACCAGGAAGTTGTAATATTTGCAGTTTTCTAAAGAACTGTACAATCAGGTTAGTGTAACAGTTAAAACTATTTTGTAAATTATATCTTTTAGATAAAACTAGAACATAACAGGCTCAAGCATTAACAAACAATTATACAACCATTACATTTATAAGAAAAAACTCCATACAAAAAGAAAAAAGCCAAAAAAATAATAACTGCAAAATTACAGTATTTATTGCTGCTGTTCCACTTTGAGAACTGTAATATGATTTACCATCTGTCAAGTCACCAAGGGTGGTTTTGAGGGTCACATAATGATGTTTCATTGCTTGGAAGGAGATTACATACTAGATTTTTAGGTTGGCATAAAGCTCGGAGTCATCGCTCTTCTCAATGTTCTGTGGGATCTCTACCTGTTATCTTGAGGTTATCTTGAGATGATTTCGGGGCTTTAGTGTCCCCGCAGCCCGGTCCCTGTGGGGATACTTGTTTCATGGAGCATCATTTGTCATCCCTGACTGCACTCTTCAGCTATAGCAAAAGCAGGAGTTCCTGTGGTGTAATTTTGACTGTCATTTTCAACATAAGGATTGACAACCATAACAACTTGTACTGGTGAATCATTGCTAACTTTTAGTAGTCTACTTTCTCTGTCACATCTTTGAATGCGATGCACGAGTAATTTTGAGCAGGTCTTGAATGATAATTTTTTGTCGTTGCTGGCCCAATACCTTCAAAATCATCTGCCTTTACATTATTTTTGAACATTAGCAAGCTACAAATGTTTGAAACACTTTTGTACACGGATTGTTTTAATCTGCATAAATATTTCATATTTTTATTCACCCTGATCAACCAGGCTGTGATTCATACGTCAGGCTACGAGCAGTCACATCCAACAGCCTGGTTGACCAGACGACCAACTGGGAGGCCAGGTCGAAGACTGGGCCGCGGGGGCTGTTGATCCCCAGAAGCTACACAAGGTAGCACACAAGGTAACCCTCAAGCAACCTATCCATTTTGTTTTTCTATACTGACATTTAAGGTTGTAAATAACACCCTGAAATATGACAAGCAAATGCAATAGCATTAATTAAGCATTTCCAACATAAGAACAAGATCACTTTAGATCAGAGAATAAGATCACTGTTCACCACAGGATGTTTTAAGTCGAAACTATAAATCCACATACTGTAATTCTAAATTTTCACATGTATGATATTTGGGACTTCTCGTCTTTTGCCGTGGTGATGGAAATCAGAAATAACTTAACCTTGGAATAGCAAATTATCAGAATTATACAGTATTGTACTCTATTTATAATCAGCGTAATAACAACGAAGAGTTTGTGAAAGGAAATGTTGTAAAGTGCTTTTATCCCCCCAGCAATTGGTCTTGTCCTGCTGTTTAGGGGGTGTGAAAACAGAGAGAACATACTCCCAATTTACAACTGAGAAACTGCTTGCAATGACACCAAAGAACAGAGCAAACCACTCGATAACCCCTTTCAAAATATCATTGGAGCCACAAGACAGGCATTATCATTCTAAATGTACCTAATTAGCAAACTATCAACTACACCGACTGTCACCAAGTGTTGGCATAAATTAGTACAACAGGATTGGAGGAGGTGACAACCCTCGCTTTATGCCTGCCATCCACCAGTCAAGCATTCAGTTCTACAGTGGCTAATTAAATTTAAGCTTTCTCAGCACTGGGGTTTCCATGCTTTAATGTCCACTTGCCATGACTGAAGAAGGTTATCATGCTTCTCACTGAGCATAATAATATTTTATACAAAAACTGATTCAGAAAATGTAATCCAAAATATTTGGCTGATAAAGACATGCACAAGACAAGTGCGCCTTCATAAGTGAAGCCAAATTTAGGAAAACATCGCACTTATCCTTGAGAAGATATGTATTGTTTTTTACCACTGGGAGATGCCATAAGAAATTTGTGTCACCAAAGAATTGCCCATTTGATTAACTTACAATGTATGCATTTCATTTTTAAAATATGAAAGATCTGAAATATCAGGCGTTCAGTTTGACTTTCATATGTAAGGACTTTGCTATGGATTAAAAACAAAACCCTTAATAAATTCTTCACAAGATATTGAAAATGTTTTAAAACAACAAAGTTTCGAGTCATCGCCCTATGACTTCCCATTCAAGTGTAAGCATTTTTATTTTGTAAAGTATATACATGACTGAATTTTATACTGTATATCTATTGATGAGACACATACTCATCACTTGTTTACAACTGCCACCCACCTTCAACTTCTGCACTTTTCCCTTCAGTGACGAGTGAGTTCCTACGTGTTGGAATAGGGAAGGCTTGAAGTGAATCCACACATTCTCTTTGGCTTTCTTGCAGTGTTTCTGTTTGTAAATTAAGAATACATGAATGAACACAGTTTTTGTTTTTTTTAACGTTACATGAGGTCCTGTACAGTATACTACAACAATAGAAAATAATTCTTGTAATTAGTTATCTATGCAGCTTAGCAAATCTGATGCTATACTTAGTATTGTCAATGCTCTTTTAGCTTAATTTTGAAAGTGGATTTATTAAGACAAATTTTATTTATTTTCATTTATTTATATTATATATATATATATATATATACAGTTACATATCTGATTTTATACAAAAAATGAACATTAAGAGGACACAAGAAAAAGTTCGCTTCCTAGAGGCTGTAGATTTCCTCGAACTCCTCCGACGCCGGGCAGGAACCGAGGACGCAGCGGGCATTTCCCCTCTGGATCGCGACACTGAGGCGCTGAAAGAGAAAACTTGCCGCTCTAGGGTCTCTTGTGGTGTCAATGAGCTTGGAACCAAGATCCTTAAGAAACCTTCTTGCACTCTCACCCCATGGGCCTAGGGTCTCAGACCCTATTGGAACGAAATTGTACCTTTGATCTAATTGCCTGTACTTGACTGACTTTTGTTTTTCTCTGTGTGTCGCTGCGGCTCCTGCCGTGCCGGCAGATATATATATATATATATATATATATATATATATATATATATATATATATATATATATATATATATATATATATATATTTATTTTTAAGGCAAAAACTTTTGGTTTATTATAGAAGAAAGATCTTATAAATAAAAAGAACTAAGAAGTACAATGAATAGCATGCACATGCATACTAAAAGTAATACAATTAGTTAAAGCATGCATTATCTTGTCAGGCACAGCATATAATCTGCACATGTCAGATGTGGCAACAGCATGCAAGCAATCAGCTCAATATATTCAAAGTTTTAGCTACTGTTTAATGATGCCTTCATATCTAAATGTCCTAGAAGCAAGTGCAAGTATAGTTATATGTATTATAAAGTATATATATTTTACAAGAATATATATGCTTAAGATACTGTATTGTAAGATAGTAGAGGAGTTAGCCTTGGTCACAAGTGCAATAGCTATCTAATAGGACAAGTAAAGTGGGGCGCTTGTATCACCCATGAAATTTTTCCTTACAAAATCTCGTAGTGTAATTGTCATTAGGTCCACTTTATTTTATTTATCTTTCATTAAATGTTATTCTTCCCTTCTTTACATTAGTTTTCCTCTCATGTCCTGGTTTTTCTTGCTTTTTCTTCCAACCTGCTGACCTGCTTATACTTACAGGGAGCAGTCCTCTTTCTTGTGCCCTATTTCAATTCCTTGGTAGAAACAGGTAGCCAAACTAGTAAGGAGAATTCCAAGACAAAAGAACACTTGTTTCTTTGAAAGCCATTACCTTGCCGGCCTTTTAAATGATTACTGGGTATAAGAGCATGTGACTATCACCTTCAACATGATATGTTCTTATTTTTAAGGCAACTACTCAACAAAGTAAATTACTTAATTTACTTTGATTTTATTAATTATTAATTTTTTTTTTTTACTTAACTTCCCTTCCATGCATGGACGGTGCATTAACAGATATATATATATATATATATATATATATATATATATATATATATATATATATATATATATATATATTTTTCACAAAATTGACTAACATACATTTACAACTCTCCATTCATTAGTAAAGTATGAAACTTTTAGTAATTAAAGAAAAAAATAATACTAGATACAGAAAAATAATACTAGATATGTATTTGCTTCCATATGCTACATCATCAACGTGTTCAGATCGACTTGAACATTGAAGAATAATAAAATACTGGTCTGCTGCTTTTCCATAGTGTTATCTATATATACAAAAGAACAACATAAATATTGAATGCTTTTCTTGATCAAAGCCAAACACCAAAATAACTTGCAAACACAGCCACAATACCATGGCTGAAAATTAGACATCAAACCCATAAATCTAAAAATAAAGGCACTAACAATGTTTGGGTTCAGCCTGGACTATTATCAAGTTGACTTGATAATGGTCCAGTACTGACCAAGGGCCAGATTCGCGAAAGCACTTACGCAAGTACTTACAAACGTGTACACCTTTCCTCAATCTTTGACGGCTTTGATTACATTTATGAAACAGTTTACAAGCATGAAAACTTCCCATTCAACTGATGTTATTGTTATAAACAGCCTCCTGGTGCTTCGGAGCTCATTAACTGTTTAATAATTGGAAACAAAGCCGCCAAAGATTGAGAAAAGATGTATAGGTTCGTAAGTGCTTGCGTAAGTGCTTTCGTGAATCTGGCCCCAAAACGTCATCAATTACTGGTCTCTCAGATTTCTGGGTTCGGTGACTAATATCAGAATAATGTCATGCAAGGAGCAAAATAAGTGCTTTAGTGTTCCTCTGAATTGTGCAAAAAATATGGTGGTTTTTGATGACAACTGTAAAGAACAAACAGTAAGTTAACTAATTAAAAGATATATATTTTAGCTCATAATCAAATCAAATCAAACATTTTGATCATAAATAAATGCCTGGTCCTGAATGAAAATAAGCTTGGTTTTCCAACCTCATTCTTTTTAAAATGCAAAGGGCTGATTTAAGAGACTGTGCCTAAAGTAGTGATCCTTAGTTTGAAGAAAACAAAAAAGGAAGCTATTTATACTAAGTAACCTGTATTGTATTTGACTTTGATAGATCCTGTACAAGATTCACACAAGTATACAATTTCCTTCCTCTTGTCTCCTTTGATCAGGGAAATACAATACTGTCAATGTTTGATACTAAAAACATTTATAATTTCCGTCTCGGTATTGTACAGTCGACAAGGTCGATAATCGTGAAACGTAATAAGAATGAACAGAGAACCCAACTTATAATGTAGGATACATTTAGTACACATAGTGTCTTGATATTAAGCAAACAGCATTCATTCTATTTTTAATGTATATTAAGAAATATCTTAATATTTCAGCAGGAAATATTAAATGTTAAAGTTGTAAACCTTTTAGTGTCTTCTGAGACACCTGTGGCATACGCCTCGGTAATCAATATACTGTATTTTAATAAAATGTTAATAAGCCTAAAATAATGTAGAACAATCAAATTTCTTTTGCTGTATCCTGTGATCTGAGAATTGTACTCTCTTGATATATTACTGTAAATTTTTATGAAATATTCAGTAGTATAATTTCAGATTTATTCGTTTTCATATTGTAGAATTGTACTTTACTGAGAATTGTACTTTCTTGATATATTACTGTAAATTCTTATGCAATATACAGTAGTATAGTTTCAGATTTATTCATTTTCATTTTTAAGAAACAAAGTGTGAAATTACTGTTATAACTTCTATATTATTCAGCTTATTGTAGAAACATCAGATGAAGCTTAATATGAAAACAAATGGCATTTTAACACTACTCAAACTGTTAATAAATAATTGTTAATGTTAGTTTCTTTTCTTTGTATTTAGTTACTATAAAACTGAAAAAAGTCCTTGCATGAAAAGGACAAAATTAACTTCTGTTGTACATATTGTTAGCAAAAAATGTTAATTTGATTCACTCCTTCGTGAACTATTTAGAGGTTTTACTACAAGTGCATTCCAAATGTTGTTAACTTCTTAGATTTAACTACAAGACTACAAGTGCAGAATAATTAAGATGAAAAGATAGTCAAGAGAAAAGCAGTTGGTATAACAACTGTGTAAGGTGCTATTGTGCTGCACTGGTGCCATATTGTGCTGCAGTGGTACCATTGTGTGCCACACTGGTGCCATATTGTGCTGCACTGGTGCCATATTGTGCTGCAGTGGTACCATTGTGTGCCACACTGGTGTCATATTGTGCTGCACTGGTGCCATATTGTGCTGCAGTGGTACCATTGTGTGCCACACTGGTGCCATATTGTGCTGCATTGGTGCCATATTGTGCTGCAGTGATACCATTGTGTGCCACACTGGTGCCACTATGTGCCACATGGGTGTCATATTGTGCCACGCTGGTGCCATTGCAAGTTCAGTTGGTGTCCCGGCAAGAGCTTGTCCTCACTCCTCAGGTAACACCAAATTGCCGCTAATGCTGAATAAACAGATGGATCATGAACTGCTTATTGGTCATCAATTTTGCAGCAATTCAAGAGTATAGTACAGCATATGCTAATTCCAGACAGGCAGGACAAGGAGTCACAACTAACGTACCGCAGGCTGGTCAAACCGGCAAACTTTGTTCTGAACAAGGTGGTCAAGAAGCCAGTCGCAAGGCTTGTCATTGTGGAAGACTAGTAAGAAAGTCACCAGTGCTGACAGATCAACAGTCTTGAAAGTCTTTCCTGAAATTTGACTCTGTTTAGCTACAAGCACTCTATATTACAGCCATTTCTAACATTGTATTCAGACTACCAGGTAGCAATCTAGAATGTTAATTCTTGTTTAATAATATATAATTTGTTTTGTCAGGGACAGGAAGCCTGTGTGTGTATAAATAAATAAATAAATATATATATTTATTTATTTTGGTAGCAGTCTCTCTTGTAAATATATTAAATATGACCAAAAAGGTAAGATTACTAATTCTAACATGAATTTTCTCAATATTTCTTATGTTTCTTTTCACTGTCGATGGTAATTGAAAAATCAATTCTCCAAAATTCATTTTTATTTCTAGTCTGACGCGACCCCTGAACGCGTTTCGTAATAACTTATTACATTTTCAGAGACTTTAGACAACTGTAACCTGTAAACACACATTCATACTTATACTCGCATTTGGGTGAGGTGATATGGTACAAAAGTTTTGGGTGAGGTGATTGACATTTACACAAGACAGAACACAAACCAATGGGTATAAAAACATAATAATGGAAGTAACTGCAGAAGGCCTATTGACGCATAGCATCAACACCACCTTTTGATGCTTCTATATTGATTTGGAGTCTTGAAGTGGGTAGAATATAGTTGTGCATTAGTTGGCTGTTGATTGCTGCTTGACTGCTAGCGCCCACTTCAAGACTCTGAACCAATATAGAAGCACTTGATTTAAGCACTTAAACTTGATTCTATATATAATTCAAAGAGTAAGGAATAACATACAAGGGACGCACATGATTATTTTCAACAAAAACAATGTCTGCAATTGATACGCTCTAAATAAAATAAAAATTGTATAATCTATTGTTCAAATACTGACAGTTCATGCACTATAGCCTACATAGTATCAACGTCCTTCATGCAATGTGTGATAGATACACGAACTTAAACCCAGGATAGACTCTACCAGAGACCAAATTTTGCCCAAAATCCTTTAAGATATGAAGCTGAAGAGAGACAAGCAGTAGTGTTGCAAGAGCTCAAATAAGATGCATCATCTACATACATCCCTCCTATACAAAGCCTAGTTTTGGTTAGTGCATTCACTAAAACTAGTCCGTCACCATGTTATTGGTTAGTAGACTTTGCTAGCCACCATAACAATACCAAGTACACTGGCATCTTCTACTAGCAGTCTTGCTTGCAACATGGATGATTAAGGCGGTGAACAGTTTTTCCATTGCTTTCAGGTTTGGTTGCCGATATTCGAGAGAATCTTGATTTTCATTTTGTCATCATTTTTGTTATTTTTCTTTTTTAATTTTGCATAAATTTTGCTACGGACAGGTTAAAATTCTAACATTGAAAATGTAGAATATATAGACAAATGTGTATAGACAAAGCACCTACAGGTACAATATCATGTGGGCCAAGGGCAAGCACTTAATATCAGAGCTATTCAGCACGCCATGTGGGCTGAGGCTGCTAGCAGTAGATGGAGCAGTATGAGACCACTTACAGTATCCTTGTCCAAGTTACATATCTTCGTCTGAATAAGATAGTCGAGAAGCCAATCCACAGGTTTGTCATTATAGAACATAATGAAAAATTGTACCAGGTACGGAAGCTCTACACACTTGAACATTTTTCCTGTGAATAGTCATTATTCAGTTTAACACATGACAAAACTTGACAAGGATGCCAACTAGCAATACTTAAGACACACTGCCTATCATTCAACCAACCATGACAGAAAGGGCAAACAATAATTATGTAACTAATGTAATTAAAAACAATTATTTAAGAAAACAAATCTCGGCACATTTTAGAATCCGACATATCACTAAGCAAAATAACAGAATGATGAATGTAATAAATATAATATCTGACGGCAAGTCGAGAATATTTTCCATCACAAACTTCCTTCATAGCTTCAAGAGACTCGTGATGTTGAGCCCAGCTCAAGGTGTAGAAGGTTTATGATAGTGGAAAAATTTTAAATATTTAAGAGAGACACAATAGCATTTATATTTACTATAAGGTAACACAGGCACACAAGCAATTTTGAGGAAATGAGACATGGTAATAGAAGTAAAATTCCAAACATCTTATTACATGCATTGATAATGCTCTGTTTAGGCTCTTAATTTCTTCATTATAGTTCACATTTTGGCCTTCTATTTCAATGGATGCAAAAGGAGCCTGCGATGAGGTTTAGTAGGTATGATTTTGTGGTCTCATCCTCCCAATTTTTGCACTCATTTTAATTAATAAGAATTTTCTTGACAAGTCAAGACTAGTGAGTCAATTTAAGGCCTCCTGGAGGTGTACATCAAGTTACTCCACAAAGTATATCACACACGCCCTCTTGATGCAAATGCTCATGACACCAAAATGCATCTGACTTTCTTTATGAAATGGATTGCAACCAAAGACTGAGTTCACACACACATGCTGTATTCTATGAGTCATCACCAAGTTGCCAGCTTTTAATTGCAAACTCCTGCATAATGACAAAGAATAATATTAAATTATTCTCACAGTTTGCCATTTTCATAAAACTGTTTCCTGTATGCAAAACTATAGCTGGCCAACATGTGCATGAAAAGAACCAAGATAATTTCCTCTCATACAATGAAGTATGAAAAATGACTGACAATATGAACATAAAATAAGAAAAGTAGGTTAAAAAAGAAGAGGAGTTCTTACAGTAAAAAAAAAATGCATAGAATGATATCTTTCTTGCATTTCACTATGGAAGAATTTATAGTACGATAGCTAATTTAAAACAAAAAGTTGTATAGTAATTAGTATACTGTATACTTTTACATTAAAAATAATCTTACCTATAAATCCAAGCTGACAAAAATCCAGGACAAACCAATTTTTCTTCTCTGAAGTTTTCTGGAGAGCAAATTTCTTCATAGTAGCAATATAACCTTTCTTTGTCTGTATGTCGTCTTCCAGCTGCACATAGAACGTTCCCTTAGGCTGAGAGTACATCATCAGGAAGGCAAAGTCCAGGTTCTGCTTGGTTCTCCACCTGCACTTGTGCACGCTCATCATTAGTAACATTGAAGAGACACGTTATATGACTTGCACAGTATGAGTGTGCAGTATAGAAATAGTATACAGCGTACTTTATTGTATATACACACAGGTGCCTTTTGATAATTATTATTTGATTGCTAATGCACTATCAAGTGGAAATCTAGCAAATACTTCAGGCACTTTCTACATGTTTTAACTTGAGGCTAAGCCTTGAAGGAAGGCATTCACAGATGCAAAAATATTTAGACAATTAATATTAGCATTCAGTACTGTAAAGTGAAGTTTCCTAAATCCCAGCCTTCCTATAATGGTGCCCTTTAAACAATTGACCAAATCTGCCTACCAATTTTCCCTCCAAAATTTTTACAGTATTTCTAAGATAGGAATTTATGATGCTTCAGAGCTAATAATTACTAAATAATTATAAATTTAAAGTGCCTAATTACACTGAATGCAGGACAAATACTGTGTTTAAATACATTATGGCAGTTTATTTAATTCCATTTACATAATATTTTGAAGAAAAATATATATTGTACAAGAAAACTTTCAGCTGAAGATAGAAAGTACAAATTTAGTGAAGGAAAAACAGTTAAACTATTATGTACCTCCGCTACCAGGTACAGGAACGGTTCTGTATATCTAAAAATCTTAAGCCATACTACACTGGCAATAATCTATATCCTAAGAGCTCTCAAAATTACAATCATAAAACTACACAAACTGTCATTTAAACTTTACAGTACTATAAGACTCTCACTTAATACCTGACTCTTTCCATGGGGTCACCAAGAGTTTGCCGCAACTTGTCCATATCAGGGTAGAAGGACTGTGGTGGAGAGATGACCTCAAGGAGTCCACTCTCAAGATGTTCTGGGAACCTATCAATGAATAACATTTGGTTACATTAGTGAGAGTCAAACCTGCAGTAATCATAGGGAAGTCAATTCTATATTCAGAAGGAACGCGATAGTAAAAATTTAGTGTTAAGTCTTTTAAGATGTTTTTTTAAAGTATTTAAATTGCAGCATCACTACTTTTACAGTTTTACATGAAAATCACTATACAGTCCTTATATTTCTTAATATGTTGTATCTAGTTATCATTTTGATAATGCTAAGCTAATTACATGTACTGTAAAATACAATAAATGCAGCATGTATATCAGAAACTACAATAATGCTAAATATTTAACCCATCTGTAATACACAACTTCAGAAAATTCATTAAAAATTCAATATCTTAAGAAAAGACAACAATTTAACACTAGAATTATAATATCATAAATATCATCAGAGATATGTACAACACCCTACTTACTTTCTCTCAATCTGTGAGGCAACCTGTCGCACATAGTCCAAGTCCCACTAGAAATAAACACAATGGTCATTATTAGTATGAGCTTCAATGGCCAAATAAACTTTTATATATTTTTAATGGCGGGCTTGTTCAAAATATTACACTAGCATATGCAAATTATAGATTAACTTAATGTTGGTGAAGATCTTCAGAAGTGGGCTGGAAGGAAAATGAACTGCTTCTGCAGTCATGGTGAGAATCTCCAAGAATGGATGGGAAGGGGAAGTTTAAGATTACTTCAATGATTGATGGGTACTGTACTTGATGAGTTGTTGCAGTGGTGGTGGGGAGCTTTGGGAGGCAGATAATGAAGTTAACTCAGTAGTTTTGGGTATCTTTTGCTGGTAGGAAAAGTGAATTACTGCAGTGGTGATGGGGGATTATTTAGGTTCATCCGAGGGTTCTAGAGTGGATTTAATATACTGTAATTGAAAATAAAGCATAAATGGAGAATTAAGAAAATACAGTACTGCTCATAACAGACTTTAAGCCTTTTAGGGCATCAAAACTTCTACAAAAGTGAAGACTTACTTCAGCCACAAAGACGACAATAATGCACTCCTCCATCTCCTCGGTGGACATGGAGTTAATGAGGTTGCCGAGAGTTGTCATGAGGTAGCTCTGTACCTGGCGCTTCACTGTGGGCACTCCCAGCACCATCGTTGCTGTTGGTCACACAAAACATCTTACACAACTTGCAGCATCACTGTTAATGTTTAACACAATCTTACACAACTTGCAGCATCACTGTTAGTGTTTAACACAATCTTACACAACTTGCAGCATCACTGTTAGTGTTTAACACAATCTTACACAACTTGCAGCATCACTGTTAATGTTTAACACAATCTTACACAACTTGCAGCATCACTGTTAATGTTTAACACAATCTTACACAACTTGCAGCATCACTGTTAATGTTTAACACAATCTTACACAACTTGCAGCATCACTGTTAATGTTTAACACAATCTTACACAACTTGCAGCATCACTGTTAGTGTTTAACACAATCTTACTAATGTTTAACACAATCTTACACAACTTGCAGCATCACTGTTAATGTTTAACACAATCTTACACAACTTGCAGCATCACTGTTAATGTTTAACACAATCTTACACAACTTGCAGCATCACTGTTAATGTTTAACACAATCTTACACAACTTGCAGCATCACTGTTAGTGTTTAACACAATCTTGCAATAAAGATTGAACTATCAACATGAAAAGGTCAAGACTTTTCAACAAACTCCCACTACACATAAGGGGCATAACTGGCCAACCCCTCACAGTGTTCAAGAGAGAACTCGATAAACACCTCCAAAGGATACCTGATCAACCAGGCTGTGATTATTCATATGTCAGGCTATAAGCAGCCATATCCAACAGCCTGGTTGACCAGTCCTGCAACGAGGAGGCCTGGTCACAGACATGGTTACGGGGATGTCGATCCTCGAAAAAATCAAGGTAACCACAAGGTAAGGTATGACCTGGCTGGACCTAGCATGATATAATCATGCTAGATCAACAGTTGGCCAAGCCTGTGCAACAGTAGGCTAAGCCTGTGCAACAGTTGGCCAAGCCTGTGCAACAGTAGGCTAAGCCTGTGCAACAGTTGGCCAAGCCTGTGCAACAGTAGACCAAGCCTGTGTAACAGTTGGCCAAGCCTGTGCAACAGTAGGCCAAGCCTGTGCAACAGTAGGCTAAGCCCGTGTAACAGTAGGCTAAGCCCGTGTAACAGTAGGCCAAGTCTGTGCAACAGTAGGCCAAGCCTGTGCAACAGTAGGCTAAGCCCGTGCAACAGTAGGCCAAGCCTGTGCAACAGTAGACCAAGCCTGTGCAACAGTAGACCAAGCCTGTGCAACAGTAGCCCAAGCTTGTGCAACAGTAGACCAAGCCTGTGCAACAGTAGGCTAAGCCCGTGCAACAGTAGGCCAAGCCTGTGCAACAGTAGACCAAGCCTGTGCAACAGTAGGCCAAGCCTGTGCAACAGCAGGCCAAGCCTGTGCAACAGCAGGCCAAGCCTGTGCAACAGCAGTCCAAGCCTGTGCAACAGCAGGCCAAACCTATCCAACAGTAGGCCAAGGCTGGACAACAGTAGGCCAAGCCTGTGCAACAGTAGACCAAGCCTGTGCAACAGTAGGCCAAGCCTGTGCAACAGTAGGCCAAGCCTGTGCAACAGCAGGCCAAGCCTGTGCAACAGCAGGCCAAACCTATGCAACAGTAAGCCAAGGCTGGACAACAGTAGGCCATGTTTCAATAATGGTGGGCCAAGGCTGGACAACAGTAGGCCATGTTTCAATAATGGTGGGCCAAGGCTGGACAACAGTGGGCCAAGGCTGGACAACAGTAGGCCATGTTTCAATAATGGTGGGCCAAGGCTGGACAACAGTGGGCTAAGGCTGGACAACAGTAGGCCATGCTTCAACAATGGTGGCCCAAGGCTGGACAATAATATACCAGGCTTAGCATATTATTGCATAAGAAGGAGAAGCGAAAACCCAAAGAAATGAAGTAAGGCAGTGGGACAGTAGGGAAGGAAGAGGTGATGGTTAATCCTTAGTGACCTGGAGATTGCTGGCGGTGGTGGCATCTGTCTCGCCAAGCTGTAAATCCCCACTTGGATATCTGTAAATCCCAGCATGAGAAACTGTAGCCTTGGATCCCGCCGTACCCTAGTATTTTAAGGCCTGTGTTGCCTGTATGTTAGTACAGGTACTTGTCTTACTACGGTAGGTAAATACAGGTATGTCTTTCTCTGCCATTACACTCACAAACACTCCACACAGGAACAAGTGTTAATCCACACACTCAGTCATAAATATAAAATTACTCTTAGATATCATACTAGGATGTTGGCATCTAGCTCTTGGAGCCCATATGTCAACCTTCAACTGAGTAGTGTACAAGTTTCCAAGTATTTGGATTGTCAAATGTCTGCATCAGTGTACGACGTCTGCCTCCTGGTTGATACCTGCTTGATGGGGTTCTGGGAGTTCTACTCCCCAAGCCCGGCCCGAGGCCAGGCTTGACTTGTGAGAGTTTGGTCCACCAGGCTGTTGCTTGGAGCGGCCAGCAGGCCCACATACCCACCACAGCCCGGTTGGTCCGGCACTCCTTGGAGGAATAAATCTAAATTTCCTTTGAATATGTCCACGGTTGTTCCAGCAATATTTCTTATGCTCGCTGGGAGGATGTTGAACAACCGTGGTCCTCTGATGTTTATACAGTGTTCTCTGATTGTGCCTATGGCACCTCTGCTCTTCACTGGTTCTATTCTGCATTTTCTTCCATATCGTTCACTCCAGTAAACGATATGGAAGAAAATGCAGAGTAGAACCAGTGAAGAGCAGGGGTGCCATAGGCACAATCAGAGAACACTGATTGCATTTCACTTCATTCACTCCATTCCTTTATTTTTCCATTTTGTCCCCCTTTGTTTGTCCCCTCCCATTTCAAATTACTTTTTACTGACTACCATATAATCACCTGAATATTTTTTATGTCAAGGTCATGTCTTCTGTCTTTTCTTCTAGTGCCTCGAAACTTACTTCTGTCCAGTCTTTCCTTGTAAGTCATTCCCCTTACATCTGGAACACAGTTTTCGTCAAGCATCTGTGTAACCCATTAGAAAACCTATACAAGGTTATTATTGTTTTAATCCGACCTAAAAGTTCCTTGTAGTTCATAAACTAAGAAATGTAAACAATGCTGCCATTATTGTTGAACAATATACAGGTTTCTTAAGAAGTTTCTTAAGAAGTTGTGTAAATTGTTCATTAATCCTGGCCCTGAATTTGATGGCAACCTTCTACTTTCTCCATCTATTCATCTATTCTTCATCTATTGTCTTGGTGTGATACAAGTATTGTGAATGGCTCTGTGTTCGGGTTTATGAAGGTTACCTTGAGGTGATTTCGGGGCTTAGCGACCCTGCGGCCCGGTCGTCGACCAGGCCTGTCAATATGAAATAATACCGAGGCCAAACTATGGATGGGAACCTGCGCACGCGCCTCGTAAGTCCAGGGATACGCGTTCGAACCCATACTAGAGTAGTTTAGGAAATGTATATGTTTATCAATCAGAATGTTTGGTAATACGTTTATTGCTTGTGATGTGTTTATATGTATGTATTAACATTATGTACTGAACGGGGGTGAGAATAGCTTGAGCTACCTCATCCCTTTGTGTGTATTTTACATCAATAAACTTATTTCAATATCAATTCAATGTCAGTAGTTTCAAAGCATTATATAAGAGTGCTGGGAAGACGGGACACCACCCACACACACCACGAGCGTAGCTCTCATCCTCTAACTACACTTAGGTAATTACACACACTTACACACACACACACACACACACACACACACACACACACACACACACACACACACACACACACACACACACACACACGCTGAGGCGAGACCAAAGAGCCAAAGCTCAACCCCCGCAAGCACAAATAGGTGAGTACACACACACACACACACACACACACACACACACACACACACACACACACACACACACACACACACACACACACACCCACACCCACACACCCAGCACCCACCCACAGTGGCAGGTGTGACGTACCAGAGTGCCTGCCCTTGGAGAGCTTGAAGGCGGGTGTGGTTGCGCCGCGGGTGTGGAGAAGATGGGGCAGGTAGCTGTAGATAGAGGGCAGGTGCATGTCAGAGTTGTGGCTGAGGTTGGTGAGTAGTTCCCGGGTCTCCTGCGACAGCGCCGCCCGGAACCCCGTCACGTTACCTCCCTCCGGCGCTGTGTTACAACAGGTAGCTGCTATAGTAATCTCCTGGCTCCGTCACTGCCTTCCTACTCAACGCACCAAATGTAATCTATTATATATGATAACTGCATGACATAAATCACTGGTTTACCTGGCTCAATGATAAGGTTGAATTTCCTGGAGAGGAGGATGACATCTTGGAGACGCTCCTGGTTCAGCATCTCCGCGTGGTGTAGACGCTCCCGCAGCTCGGCCATCCTCTGCACCAGGGCTTGCTCTCCGCTCAGGTCTGCTGGGGACACCAGGCTCTCTTAGTCCCCTCCACCCACACCACAAGTTAAAGTTTATTGACACAAGAAAGAAATACATCTCAGAGGGATAGAGTAGCTTAGGCTATGTTGGCCAGATCATACACTAGAAGGTGAAGGGACGATGACGTTTCGGTCCATCCTGGACCATTTTCAAGTCGACTGATCAATACTCAAGTCGATTTCTCAATCGACTTGAGAATGGTCCAGGATGTACCTGTAGTACTTACTAGACAGCTCTATGCCAGCCTATCCCACTAACCTATTTAACAATACATGACAAAACGAAGTTTTCTGTAGAAATTAAGTACATTACTTTTTGATTTTGTGGTATTTCAAATATTGTTACTGTAGTTGTAATTCCTAGATGAGGCTCACTGGCAGGTCCATGACAAAGAGGAGCAGCTAACAATGCTTGCTTGTCTCTGTTAAGTCAGGTTAAGACAAGCATATGGACGGGTGACCTGGGCGTGACTCAAGGCCAGGGAGACCTTGACAAGCCTCAGCATCCTGTCAACTTGACGGTAAACAAGCACCCATAATAACACATCTAACATTGGTCTTGTCACACATGAGTACCCAAATGAGCCACGGAGACGTTAGAAAGAACTTTTTCAGTGTCAGAGTAGTTAGTAAATGGAATGCATTAGGCAGTGATGTGGTGGAGGCTGACTCCATACACAGTTTCAAATGTAGATATGATAGAGCCCAATAGGCTCAGGAATCTGTACACCAGTTGATTGACGGTTGAGAGGCGGGACCAAAGAGCCAATGCTCAACCCCCGCAAGCACAATTAGGTGAGTACATGTTTCCTACACAATATTGCTGAACTCCAGCACTAAAGTTACTGTAGCTTTAAGCTGTAATTATCAAAGATATTGTAACTAAGTTGTGGTACATAAAGCAGTTTTGCTAAATGAACAAATACTCAAGGGCCGTGACGAGGATTCGAACCTCCGTCCGAGAGCATCCCAGACGCTGTCTTAATCGACTGAGCTACGACATGGTATAAGAATTGCAACCAGAAATTCTCCTGAATTGACTTGGATCCTGCAGCCTCTCCGAGACACAAACCAGGGTTTTACACAACTCCCCCCTGCACTCGAGCTGTCAATAGCCCGTTCTACCTCTTCAGTTTTACTAAAGTTTAATTTTGCTTTTGTAGATATTTAATGTTCATGTACAATCCGAAGGGGAGATAATTTTAGGACAAAGAGCTGTGATATAAGGACTGAGTGAAGGACCGGTGCCCAAGCACTTGCACAAAGTTGCACCATCGGGAATCGAACACCGATCCTGCAAGAAGCTAAACCATCATACCACCGACCTTTGAGAGTGGTTGGGTAAGCAACACGAAGAAACTATTTATGTTTGATGAGAAATTACTTAGCACACACACACATTGTTTGGCATCATAAGTATAATGTATAGAGTCTGATAGCATATGTAGAGGTAAGGTAGAAATACTGTACCGGTTATTATCGTACCCAGGGCAGCCATTGTTGACAAGTGGTGGTAATTGAAATTGAAATAAGTTTATTGAGGTAAAATACACACAGAGGGATGAGGTAGCTCAAGCTATTCTCACCCCGTTCAGTACATCGTGTTAATACATACTTATAAACACATCACAAACAATAAACATATTACCAAACATTCTGGGAGATAAACATATACATTTCCTAAGTGGTGGTTGTGCCTTGGCGTGAGCCCGGCGCGGGACGCATCCTATAGTATTAAGATCCAGTATGTCTTGGAGCGCTCTTATTGATTACTGCTTCCTCGTGTGGCCAGGCCCGCGGGGGCAACTCGTCCTCTGAAGTACTACATCCCATTTTGACGTATAAATCAAAAGTCAACTCGTCCTCTACATCGCATTTTGACGTATAAATAAAAAATTAACTCGTCTTCTGAAGTACTACATCGCATTTTGACGTATAAATTCAAAAGTAAATGACGTATAAGACCAAAACTGATGTACTAAAAAATCGTAGCGGCTCGCAAAATTGAAGAGATGTCCAATTTTCTATTCGTTAGTCCTCGATTAGGTTAGGCTTGGCCAATTTAGTACATGAGTTTAGTGAGGTTGTGAACGTTCGAGAGGACGGGCTGAAGAATTACTACTCAGGAAATGTATATGTTTATCTCTCAGAATGTTTGGTAATATGTTTATTGTTTGTAATGTATGTCTATGTATGTATTAACACGATGTACTGAACGGGGTGAGAATAGCTTGAGTTACCTCATCCCTTTGTGTGTATTTTACCTCAATAAACTTATTTCAATTTCAATTACTACTCTCAATATTTGTACGACTAAGAAGCGACCAAAATATTTGTGTTAGTTATTAGAAAGAGGAAAGGAAAATGTATAATTCTGACAACTGTCTCAAAACGGTGAATAGATTGGCGTCGATGTGTCCTCACACTTGTTGTTAAAGATTCGCTACCTGGAACAAAGTTCCAAGTAGCAGGGGCTATGGTGAGCCCGTAGTGCCTTGTTATATACGAAGAACTAAAATAACTAGACCTGACGAGGCTAGAAAACAAGGAGATACATGACACAGACGTATAAAATACTTAGGGAGGGGACTGACTGTGGAAAAAATTGTTCACAATGAATATCTTGAGGCGATGAGTCACAATAACGTGGCTGAAGTATGTTGACCAGACCACACTAGAAATTGAAGGGACGACGACGTTTCGGTCCGTCCTGGACCATTCTTAAGACCATTCTCAATCGACTTGAGAATGGTCCAGGACGGACCGAAACGTCGTCGTCCCTTCAATTTCTAGTGTGTGGTCTGGTCAACAATATCTTGAGGTTATCTTGAGATGATTTCGGGGCTTTAGTGTCCCCGCGGCCCGGTCCTCGACCAGGCCTCCACCCCCAGGAAGCAGCCCGTGACAGCTGACTAACACACAGGTACCTATTTTACTGCTAGGTAACAGGGGGCATAGGGTGAAAGAAACTCTACCCAATGTTTCTCGCCGGCGCCTGGGATCGAACCCAGGACCACAAGTCTGAATACCAACAGAAACAAGTTAAGCTTGAGAGCCAGACGAGTCATAGATACTAGACAGTTTTCTTTTAGCATAAGAGAAGTGAAGAAATGGGATAAACTAAAGGAACAGACTCCATTCATAACTTTAAAAGTAGATGCGATAGGGAAATTAGCCTGGAGTCACTGCATTAAACAATCGGTGACTAGATAGGCGGAATCCAAGAGCTAAAGTTCGATCCTGCAGGTACAAACAGATACACAAGGGCGCACACGGCCAGAAAGCCATTAGGAAACAGGCCGCAGGCAATGGAGGTTTTTGCTTTTAAACTGTGTAGGTGACTGCCGTAATTATTATCGGGCGTGCACACACACACACACACACGTACACGCGGTGTGTACTATATTGTAATGTGGTGTGATACCTCCCAATGTTAACTATAAAGTATCCCATTATTATATTATATACATTGTTATATTATAGCCTAAGTATCCCATTATTATATAAAGTAAAGGCATTGCAAAAACAACTACTAAATGTAAAATTTCTTAGGCCTAATGTAGTACCAGTATTTACTATACTAAGCCCAGGAAAAGTTAGCTTTGGCTTCCATTTTCTCGAAAACCCAATAGCACAAACATAGACTTTTGAATGGAACAGTTCAAATTTCGTGCTTGCATTATACAGTCGATATATGTACTATCATTTCCAGAAATGTTGAGACAAAACTGCACCGTGTTTAACTTATCACCACAAAGGTCAAACTGGTACAAATACCAGGGAGCAAGATGGATAAACGGAAGGAGGAAGAGAGAGGGAGGAAGAAAGAAGAGAGAGAGAGCAGAGGAGAGAGAGAGAGAGCAGAGGGGGGGGGGGGGAAGAGAGGCACCAGTGGTGGTGGTGCCGAGTATAGTTACTATCAAACAAGGTACGTAGGCACCCAGCAGGCTAGTGTGGCAGGTCTCGTGTGACTCTGCTCTCCTAAACTCTCAACTTCCATCACTTCACGTACTGCACGAGCCTCACTATCTCCTCCAGTATTGGACCTCAAAGATGCGGTATTAAAAGCTATGACAACTTTTGTAATGAAAGGTATTTGTATGGTCAGCACAGTAACCGGACCAGGCAATGTGATGTAGTCATTGTGGTAATTTACCTTGGTTATAGCCACATCTGGCAGGTTAGTGAGGCTAAGCCACTACCAGGATACTCAGATTGTAAACTCTGTGATAAACCTTTAATGCATTCACTAGAACACTATATTGTTGAATGTGAAACCGTGAAAGATTTTAGACCTGGCCTATTGTACCACCAACTGTGTAACTATTTCTTTGACTCAGGTGTACTGGACGACAGCCTAACAATTTATCCAAAATTTGCTTGTCCATTTTAAATAATGAAAAACAATTTTAGTTATATTATTTTTAAGCTGCATCTCTTATGAACCATCCATGGCCTTGTGGCAGTGCACAATAGAAAGTCGGATTTACATATTCGTACATTGAAACGTGTATACAGTCTAATATAGTTGTAACCATAATATATATGTGCTTCAGCCTACAGTTTAGACCTATTGTCTAGTGTCTGACCCTCTGTCCTGTGTGACAGTGAATATTAACATTATTCTCACTTTAATAAGACCTAATTGAATTCCTCAGACCAGGCAAAATTGTAATTAAATTGTCAATAAAGATGGTAATAATAATAATAATATTTGTGCCTAACATTAACCACACACAATAATAATAATTATTATTATTATATATATATATATATATATATATATATATATATATATATATATATATATATATATATATATATATATATATATATATATATATATATATATATATATATATATATATATATATATATATATATATATATATATATGGTGTGTGTGAATCCGGGTTAAAGGTGGGGGGTCGAATCCTGGGGCCAAATTCACGAAGCAGTTACGCAAGCACTTACGAACCTG